TTCCCTGCGCGTAATTGCAGCTTAAGGTTCCATCAAGCAATACACGATCAGAGGAGAAAAAAGCGTACAGCAAAGTACGTGATCAACGCGGAAACAAACTTGGCGGTCCTAGCACGCAGAACAGAACTTGACATGCAGATAAGCAGTAATCAGCTAATAAACTGAAGAAAACTTTAGGTTTACTCTATAGCCCCAAATCGCAGTGCGAGATGGCCCAATTCAAAGCAAGACTAGTGCTGTTATCCAGCATATAGGTAGTAACAAATTGTTGCGCTGCTGATGTTTTCACGCTAGTGGGTGAGCTCAGAATCAAGATAAATTAACTAGCCCAAGAAGTGATCATTAATATTAAATAAACGCAGCATAATTGATGAGAACAGGTGGACATAAGTGTCAAGCAGTGTTGCGTACCTTTTACGTCTCCTGCTTCCTCTTCTTCTGCGATACTCGCGTTCTGTCCACCTCTGGTGCTGCCTTACTGGATTTCATCCAAACAAATGTATGTTATGCCATATGTGATTTCCTACGCGAAACAAGAATAACTGTTAAAAAAGGTTAGAGTAATCGAAGTTTCGTTTCTCTCAGCAAGGTATATTTGATAACAAGTTTATGACGAATACAGCATAAGCTCTGTATGTGCTTGATGAGTGAATTGAAGCAAGACCAACAATTTCAAGGACTTCTCATCTATGCCTACACTGACAGGAATGACGCAGCACTGATATACATCACCTCGTTTGGAGTTGTTCAGCTTTCTCGCGAGGAAGATCGAATCTGCCGCACGAAGTAAGAGCCCTAGAAAATGGTCTGCAATGTAATGATGGAGTGGAAAAAAGCACTTGAAAATTATGCTAGTGTAAGTGGCCTGTTTAGAGTGATGTAGACGGGTCCATGCTGTCGCTTCGAAAAAGAAATTTCATCATTCTAAAATTCAGATTTTAAAAGATTACTCTTTTCATCGCCAATCCTCCACGGTGGGTGTGAGCCACAAGCAAAAGTGATGATGATAATAAGTGGGGTTAAACGTCCCAAAACCATGATATGATTAAGAGAGACGCTGTAGTGGAGGGCTCCAAGAATTTCGGCCACCTGGCATTCTTTAACGTGCATCCAAATCTGAGCACACCGGCCTACAGCATTTCCGCCCCCAACAAGCAATAGTGAACAAGAACAAAGTGCGAATGATGTGCAATATCATTTCCTGCGAGATGGCGGCGGGCGCGTAGTTTGTTTATCTCCAGTCATCTCAAGAGCCGCGCAGCCCAGCATAACCAGCTAGTTGTGCCCCACACGACCAGCTACCGCGAGAGGGCGCCTTCACTGTGGATTGTGGCAGCCGTGGAGGCCTTGGCATAAAGCTGAGTGCGTTGAATTCCAGCCTGTGCATTAATTTGTTTTTTGCTTTTTTGTTTTTCACGTACGAGCGAAAATCTCCGCCAGAATCTTCTGGCTTCACTGAATGCATTTATTTTGTTTGCAGACACTGCATCTATTCTCGTCAAATTTACAAAGAAAGGCATGACAACTGCTAAGTTTTTCTGATATAGAACATTGTAAGGAGGTATGAATTCGTCTGCGCAAGTATTACTTTTCCCATTATGGTGCACTTTGTGTTGATTCCTTCTTTATAGAGGCGTGTATTGGTGAAACCTGGGCTAATTATCGTCGTTCAATCATATTGGCCTGCTACCGTGACGCATTGTTTTACTATTTTACCGCATGCGGATATTTACTGGGTGGTCAAGTGAAGCACAGTTACGCTCTAGCTAACTGTGTGCCCTGGTCATGGCGCTCAAGTAGGGTGATAAGTAATCTTGCAGTATTGTAGAAGGCTTCGATTTGCCAGCCTATATTTACTCCACATGTATATCACTAGAAAGGTGTCTGAGTTGTCGTTTCCATTGGGGTGACGTGTATTTTGGTTATGCTTGGTAGCACAATGTCAATATCAGCATTGTGTTCATTTATTGTGCTGTCGACTGCTTCCGAATCAAGAGATTGTACATGAAGCTCAACTGTGCCTTTCTGAAGCAAACTAAGTATTCGTTGAGGTACACTAGTGAAGAAAAAAAAGAGAAGTGAAAATCGTCACTGCTATGTAATGTGCCTAGTTTCAACCAGGTACGCCAAACTCTGAACGTGTGAGGGCTCTTATAGAACAAGCAAAATGTTTCGATGTCCATTCTTACATTTCCCAACGTATTTACTGAACATCGTAAAACTCACAGTGCAAATGTGCTACCATATGAGACCACAACACGCCTGTAACCAGTCCATGGTCGACGCAGAACCGGCGACATACTTCCGTCCAGACGTATAAAAGCCGCCTGAACCTTCCTCTCTGTTTCCTGCTTCTAAGGTGCGGCGGGAGGCAGTTGCAAAAGAAAACTGGGGAAGCCTCGCGCGCGAGTGTCAGGAATTTTAGCTATGCGAGTGTGGCTTTCGAGCCAGTTGTGATTACATCAGGGCATCTGCAAGAATTCTCGAAACGGTGTTACAATGAAAAGCAGTGCTAGTTTCATGATGGGAAAGAAAAAGGCATTTAATTAAGGGTAACAATTGAGCGTAGAACGCGCCACGCTCTTGACTTCCCTAGTGGATCAGGCTGCCATTTTTTTCATTGTCAGCGCCCCCATGCTTACAGCCCGTAAACTTCAAAGTACAGTAAGTTTACAGCACATGGAGATATCTCTCAGAAGCATCGCAATTATAAGTGCTCTAATAGGGGCAGCGCTAATCCACAGCAAAAAAAAAAGCCCATTTGAGAATACATACGCCCCAGCATTGACTTTGACTCTTGTGCACCTTGATTGGACAGTGAGCACGAAGTTATACAAATGCGCAAAATCTTTTTTTTCTCGCCGCACACAAGCTATGCCGACAGCTCGACAGTTTTTTCCATCCCCTGTAGGAGCGCTACGGTGCGAAAAAAAAGCGGACCTCGCCCCCTCTAGAAACACGCGCTCTCCGTGCGATTGGGATGGCAGTACACAAACACGCCATGCTCCCGTGATCTCTGAGGCCATGTGCAACATAAAACAAAATAAAGCCCCCTCTCCCCCCCCCCCTAGCGTGTGATGATGATAATGATGATGATGACGATCATGATGACCTCATATGAATGGCACGTATCCTTGGAAGGGAGGGGCCATGAACTGGGTGGCAAAATGATTAGCATGTTATCACAATCAAAATGATGGTCATGATCATAGCTCAAAACTTCGCTCATACCTGAGGTATAGTGGCTTCATTATGCGTTGTGTAGCATGATGCAACCCCCGCATTTTCTTTATTTCAAGAAAGAGAACGGAACCGAATTCACAATCCCACATCATCTCCCTTCAAATTAATAACATGCGGGGGTTGTACCATGGTAAAAATGCGTAATGAAACCTTTGCATCACAATTCCCACTCAGAAGGCTTGGCCGAGAATCGTTATAAGTTAGTGAGACATTCCCAGTATTGAATATCACCATCAAGAGATGATCATCATCATCTTTATCATCCCCTCGTGCCTCCGGTAGCTCGTTCGCCTCGTGCGCACGCTGTCCTGTTAGAGATTGTCCGTCAGCGAGCAAGGATTGACGTGTGATACTTGCCCGATCAGATGGCCAGCTTCAGCTCACGGCTTGCTCAAAACCATCCTCATCGACTGTGTGAGACTCCCTTATGGGTTCGTACCGCTTCATGTCTCAGATGGTGTCAGCTGCTACCCTGCCGAGACGCGTAGGCTTCCCGTATTCCAGGTAGGCAGGCAAGAAGACGTAGGCGGAATGAGGGCGTGAGGAAGTGAACTACTGTGCGCAGCAGGCTCACTTCAATGAATCCAGCGATTGTTGCGATCGCAAATAAGAATGCTCCGTACCCAAGGCTTGTTCCGACAGTACAGTGCACGTGCAGAGCAGCATGAAATTGTGCTACTAAGATGCGTGGTCCTGAAGAGAAGGGGCGGGGGAAATGAAGTGCATGGCAGCCGCCTTTCTCCTTCTCCTCATTCCTAACGTGACGCATTGGGTGGACCTGTAATGCCTTTTGTGTTATCGGGGTTTCGGTTCTGCTTTAGGAGAAGGTTCACTGGCCCCCAGGAGGTGCACAACCAGTGTATGCATCGTCCTGTATATAGTAAATAAAGAGTTCCGGCCTGGCTCTCGGCTTAGCCGCTTCCTCCTCCTTCTCGGCCAGCGCTTCGGGTGCCTGGCCCCTCGGTTCTCCATGCGTCGCCTCCGACGCATGATACACTTTTAAACGTTCGTCTGGAACTTCATGACAGCCCAACGCTAAGTACAAAAGGTGGGAAGACGACCAACAGCTCCGTGTCTAGCGCTCCGCTGTCACGAAGTTCAAGGTTTATGTTAATCAGCCAGCCCAACACTCCCTTTCTGCGTCTTTACAGCTTGTTATGGCGAGTGTAACACAAAGAGCAGCGCCACAAACGTTATAATACGTTATCACTACGGTTCTTAGCGGGGCGAATTCATTGAGGCACACTTTGTGCTCGGGCGCCCACGACAGGTCAAGTGAAACAAGTACCAGAGCTCAGAAATACGTAAATTTTGTTGTGACGTTTTGCTCTACCGTTGTTCGAATCGTTTTGCAAGAGACCACATTACACCCTGTCCGATTCGGCATTTAGGTATTTTAGTAAATTGTGAAGATACGGTACGCCATTGGGGTAAGGCAGTACGGTAGCGCTCCTTCTTTTCCATGACAGGGCATTCTAGAGGACAGGTTTCTCGTTAACAATACGTAGGCTGACAGGCCAACATGAGGCGCTTAAACCCAACAGTAACGTTTCAAAAAGCTTTTGTGTTGTTGGCGTGCCTTCACTGGTAAGTGCTGAACGACCGGTAATGGAGGAGCGCTACGGTAATAGCGCACCGTATTTGCGTGCCGTATTTCCGTAACACGTTAAAGGACCCTATTGTGATGGCTATGCGGGCAGCTTGGCGAGAGTTTCCTCCAAGGCGATGGTGGAGCCAACGACACTTGGACAGACGTGATGCCCCCGCTGTCTCCTTGTCTGCGAGGCACCCTGCTCGCATGGGTGCCCTGCGGGTTCCTGTGGCTGGCGGCTCCCTTCGAATTCTACCGCATCGCCTGCAGTGATGCGGCACCTCTGCGATGGTCGGTACTCAGCTCTATTAAAATGGTAAGCGTATAACCTACATTGACTGGTTGTGAAGAGGACGAAAAAGAGAGAAATTAAGCTCGTTCTATGATGCCAAAACCGTGAAACAGTGAAGCAGTAAGCACGTGAGCGCGTGATTGGCTAGCGACGTTGTGGGCATCATCATCATCATCATCATCATCATCATCATCATCATCATCATCATCATCGTCGTCGTCATTTGGCATCATTGTCATTATATCTGCTGCTATATTCATGGAAGTCGGAACTCCGTCAGTCAGACTCACCTGTGTCTCACCCACTCCAGCATTATTTTGATACTGACGGTAAAAATAATAATAATAATAATAATAATAATAATAATAATAATAATACTACTAATAATAATAATAATAATAATTATTATTATTATTATTATTATTATTATTAGTAGTAGTAGTAGTAGTAGTAGTAGTAGTTGTTGTTGTAGTAGTAGTACAACTTTTACTATTGCAAGAGAATGAGGGCACTACGCAGAGCAACACAACTTCGCTTTACAAAGGATTGTTTTCACCTCTTCGAAAAAGCACTGTTTCTCAATGCCAAAAGCACCATCTGGGCAGCAAGAACGTGCCTGGTAAGCGAGAAAATGGGCCTTGATAATGAATTGCATGTGGTGGCATTGCCGCCGCCTAGTTCAAACAACCCGTTTGAGGCTTCATAAATTTGGAGTCTTGGAAAAGAGGCCGATGGTAATTTGGAGCCTAGGAAACGGTCGGAATTGTAGCTCCTTTATGTCTTATAAGCCATTTCGTATGAAGCTTTGTGGGCGAGGGAAACGCGTGAGGGAGAGACGCGAGGTGGGCAGACGAGATCAAGTAGCTCGCAAGTGTTGCAGAAAGCACGAGAACGGTTTGATTTGCGGAATATGGAAGAGGCCGTCACTATGCAATGGGCGTGGTCAAACTGACGATGATGGTAGAAAGTTACGCACGCGTTGTAGTTGACTTCGCTTCGACTGGCGGCTACGCGATATGTTTGGCAAGGCAATCTGTTATGCGATCACAACAACGGCCATACTGCTGTCCGCCACCGCCGTCCATATAGCCGCTTCTGAGCGAAATAAATAAACAAACAAAAATTAGAAATTGTATTCAGAATGAAACGGGGCTCGAGCGTTGGATACCGGCGGTGGCCCTGTATTCTGCTACAGACCCTTGCTAGTGTTCCAGTCTTGTTCACGAAAGACTCTATACAGGCTTAATATCGAGAAGTAACCACGTTGGCATATTTATTCAGCGTGTTAGAATGATGTAATAACCAGGCGTCACACAATGCAAGATGTTTATACTTGCGTGACGCAATGCGAATGGTGTAATCAGAAGTCACACAATGCCAGTTGCGTAACCAAATTTAAGGGTCATTGCGTGCTTCGAAAACCAGTCACAGCATAGCCCAGTGTACACAATGTATGAAAGGAATGTCGCAGGTACCAAATTGTCCTGCAGGATGAGGAATAACTGCACATTAGATGATTTTATATACTTCACAAAACATTGTGATGATTCATGGGGTAGTGGGTATGTGCGCTTGTAGTGTGCTTGTGGAGAATGTAGAGTGGTAAGAACGTAGTATGAAGATGGTACTTGAAGTATATATGCCGTGGTATTAACGCAAAATATTGATCACATTAAGAGAGTTACTCGATAAGTGGGTAGTTTAAGCTTGCAATTCATTGCAAATGGCTCAGCCATATTATTTCATCAGCCACCACATCAACAAAGTGCTTATGTTGTATTGCATATATGTAGCGTGTAGCAAGGTTCACAGCAGAATGACGACTAATGAGGCAGTAGGAGTTTCCGAACTCCATGAAAATTAATATATGGCCTAGTGCATGCATGCCTTGCAAGTGTACATGTACTAGTGGCCTCAGGATAGTTCACGACAGACTCTAGAAATGCTGCTCTTCAAGCTTTCGCTGCGACTGTGCTGCACGCGCAGGCCATAACATTTATTTCACTTCGCACGCGCCTAGTGCTGTTTAAGCTTATTATAAAGAAATCTATATAAATAACCTGTTTCTCTTAACAACTTCATTTTTATTGAGTGGTCTTCTAAACCTCAATATAACAAATCGCGTTTTCTTTTGATTTCAATATAACAAAAGTTTCAGCGCTGCCCCAGAACAATACCTACGCAATGAATTCTTTTTTGCCAGAGACAGTGGGCACATGTTCAGTTGCAAGCGGTTTTTGTGAAAAGCTGTGCTATATCAAAACATTCTTTATTGTGAGGTAGAAAAAAACAAATCCTCTACCCACACCATATCGAGACAGGGCGTTCAAATTGCATTGCTTTCGAGTTCACGCGATTCAGATCTTCGATTCAAGAAAGAGAAATGTTTATTTTGCTCAATTAGCGAAGCTGTCTTTTTAACTGGCATATTACTCTTTCTTCCGGTACTTCCTGCACAAAACCAAGAACAAAAAAAAAAGATTTCGGTGCCTATCCTTCTCAACAATGTTCCAGCATCTATTTAACGAAGTGTCGACATAACGAAGCAAATTGGTGATTTCAAATTTTTGTTATATCGACAATTATCTGCACGATACTCAACTTATTGTCTCACTCACAATAATTGGCAGCGCCGTACCTGTCTTATGAGATCCATATACATCTACGATCGTTATACACTTCCGGTCTTACAGATTCTGTCCGCGGCCATCGCAAGCACGCACCTGTCTTTGCTGCTCTCCGAAGATTATCTGCTGCCGGAGGAATTCACCGGCACCACGTTCAAACTCTTCACGCTGGTGAGCATAGTGTCGCGGCGCGGCATGCAGAAAAGATACGAACTACTTGTGACAGCGAAACCGGGCGTTCAAAATCAACTGAACAGAAAAAATCTTCTCAGTCTTTGTCACCGGAACCTACAGTCCCTGTAGACTTTCTCCCCGAAATCTAGTCTGGAAAATATCTCCGTCGTCATTGTCTTTTACGTACATACACGTCTCTACATAATCCGTGTCCTTCACGTTCATTGCACATGTTTTGATATCGCCATCAAGCACTCCCAACGCTTAATGAACAGAGAGTAAGCACCACTGCACCCTCTCCGTTGTATTTTACTCTTTTCATTGTCACTAAATTTTTTTTGCACTTTTTAAATGTGTTTAAAGTCAGTCGTTCTTACAAAAGAACCCAACTGTCATTATCATTCCCAATGGTTGTTTCTATTCAGTGTCAGCACGTCTACGTTTAAGACACACCACTTTAGAGAGTAGGCGAAATTTTTACACACTTACAATATTTAGTAACGAGTACACAAACATAGAAAAGGAAAAATAGACAACCACTCGTCTGTGGCACGATGCTGCAAGAAAATTCGTACGGATTTCTCAAGAAACTAAAGCCTCTCACTATTTGAAAAATTCGTCCTGGTCCGGGAATCGAACATGGGACCAACGTCTTCCCGAGGTGGTCGCTCCACCAATATGAGCTAACGAGGAAGGGCGAGGGCAACTTTATCGACAACTGAAAGCACATGGACAAAATGCAAACAAAACATGTTTGTTACCGTGTATTATTTTCTAATTTGTTGACAGGTGCTAGCCTGCGCGCTACAGTCGATGATGAGGATGGGCGGCCTCAGTTCATCGGTAGTGCAGTTCGGCTTCTGGCTCCTGTTTTCCGCGACGTCCACGATGACGACTTTCAGCATCTACAGGGACAGTACGGTGAGCACACGCTAGCTTTCAGGATGCTGCTTCGCGTAGACAATAAAGAAACGCTAAACCTGTAGGCACTCAGCTGCAGAAACTGATTACTGTAGTCTAAAAAGCTGGACTACCGTTAATAAAGTTTCCCAATACTATTCATACCATCACTAACATGCAATATCCTAATTGAACATCTTAATTTACTCAATATTGAAAGGCATCCCGTAGTGCAACCAGTTCAGTGGCTGTAGATGAGGTGCAGTGACTGATAGTGGCAGAGATGGCGACATTGGCAGATGGCATCCAGACGCCAATGGCGGATGATGTAGAGGTAACAGAGGCGTCAGTGTAAATGTCATGATGAGCTCTGTACCTGTTTTCCGAATGCTCTAGTGTAAAATATGTGAGTGCTGGTGGTCCGGGTGTGCGTCTCTTGCTCATGTACGCATCGGAAATACAGTCTCTGAAGATGACCTTAAAAATACAACAGGCCACAAACATGGAGTTGCAAAATATTCCAGGCCCATAGCAGAACAGCTCCAGTGCATTAGACTCCTCAAAAGCACTCCTGACATTCTCGCGGGCCATAGCCCTGAACAAAACGTTGTATATAGTGCAGTGCCTGTGAGTGGCTGTATGTATTTTGTGACTTATGCGTGTATGTGACTGTACGGGTTATGTGCTTATCACTCTATATATCATAGTCATCAGCCGGCAGCTGGAGTAGCCTGTCAGGTGAAAAACCAGGCAAATCTCTTCAGCTCTTCATTAAAATAATCAACTCTCTTTCTCATCCACAGTTAATACCTCAAAGGTCACGACGTAGGACGTTACATGAAAAATGGGTGATTCTTAGTCTAACTGTGGACATCACTAAGTGCGGACAAGATGACTTTGTTGAAATGATGGTTCCGAGTGGTCCTTGGAACGAGCCAGATGATTCTTCTAGAACCAGGCTTTCTTCGCAACAGAGAGAGAGAGAGAGAAAGAGAGAGAGCTGGATACGGCGCGTCAACGCGAGACGTCATGCGTACAGACTTTTCTGGTCTCTTGCGACTAAAGAACTTACGCAATGAAATGGCTTAAGTATCTTCTCCCACTTTTAGCTGAGAGCTATTACTTTCATACGAACAATCACAATAAGCAAACTTAGTTTATGATAATCTGAGCTGTTCACAGGTCATTTTTTGTGCTGTCCTGGACAAAACTTTTGTATTTTGTGTTAGGCTTAAAATGTACCTAAATCACACCGTGTTCCAACGCCAGAAAGTGGTTTCTTTCTCGCATCCATAACTGCTCTTCCTACAGGCGCTCTCTCATAGTCGATGCTTATTTCTTCAGAGACCACGTAAAATCGGGGCACTAAGCGTTCAGCCAGTCAAGATTTCATGCTTTTCGGATACATCCTGATACCCCCACTTGTACAGTCGCAAATGCAGAAAACGAAGTGAAAACAGTTCATCGTTCGCCAAAGTCATACGAGTCAAGGCAGAACGGGAACGCGACGGCATTTCAAAAAGGGTATATGTGACAACTCACAACGTACACTCGCGTATATCGACCAATCGACAGCTTATTTCATTCTAGCGTCACGTGGGCAGAGGACCGGTGTCACGAATTGTGCCAAATAGACGGGAAAACACCCAGAAAGAATTATGCGCTTGTTCTTCAAACTTTGAGCGGCTTTTTAAAAGCCCTTTGACAAAATTAGGCATTTTAGTACCAGAATAGCAATGTGCGAGTTATTCTGAAGCAAACTAACGTGAGACTGGTGATACTGCGTTCTTAAATAGGGAAATAAAAGCGACTCTCGCTTCTTCTGGACGCAGGAATACCAGTCGTGGTCCAACCGAGGCGCGCAAACGCACTGCGGCGTCGTTGTCATGTCCCTTGTCGTCCTCGTGATGAACTCGTTCGCAGACCTGAGCCACCGCGAAAAGCAGGTGAGTTTTTGCCTTCCACACCCAGCGCTGAATTCGATGAAATTCAATTTCATATTCTTTTTTCAAGAATTTTTTAGAGGTAGGCGAGGACCAAACATTCATGCCTGACAACGGTTCCCGTCCCCTTATGTATTTCAGTCAACGTGTTTCCTGAGAAAGACGGGCTTGTGTAAACGCCTCTGACATGCGGTGGAATTCTACACGCTGCAGTGAAATTACTGTCAGTCTCACCTTTTTTTCTTTTTCCTCTCTTCCCTATTTCTCATTCTTGTCCTCTTCCCTATTCCCTTAGTGTAGGGTAACCAACCGGGTGTCTATCTGGTTAACCTCCCTGACTTCTCCCTTTTGTTCCTTCGTTTCTTCCTTCCCATCATCGTACATCTTTATAGTACATTTCTCTTTTAGGTTTTAAGCAGTTCTCGATCAAGGAACCTGTGGTGCTCATTTAAACTTCTAATATTCATTACGTCCGCACAAAAGACATTGTGCAGTACACAGTATAATTTCGGGGCTCATAAATCAACAAAATTTTCCCCCTGCATTGTTTTTTTCTTTTTCTTTATTGCTTCTGAACAATTCCTTCTGCGTGTGATTTTTCGTTTAAGTGTAACACAATATCGATAGTTATCCTAAATGAAGTACGCGTGAAGAGACAGAAGTTCTCATTGCCCCTTCCTTTCTCCTGCATTTATTTTTCAGAAGGTCAGAGCACCTGTGACGGAAAGTTCCTTTCCATCCAGGATGACGTTCCAATGGATGAACTCGTAAGTTCGATTCTGACATTAACAAACTTTCCTCCACAATACACGCCGTGATAACGGAGAAGTTACCTTGTAGTCGCAGAACGTCTTTGTGAATTCCGGAAGCAAACTTGAGTCATTGCTTTTCGGAAAGGGTGAAGTGGATGAGATTGACGTTTAAGAGAGGTGTCCGGTACAAGAGGATCTATGGAATTTTCCCTAAATTCTGTAGTTGGTGTTCAACTAATTAGGTTTACATATATAACACCAGATACTGTCATATATTTCACGACACACATGCCGGACAAGCATAATACAGGTGTTTGTGAAACAACGTGATCTTATGCACTTCTCGCTACTTCTTTAACAAAATCTGATTCACAGAAGGGGTTCAACGTACTGCGTCAACGCTGCAATTCGCTGGTTTTCGCTTTCCGAAAATTTTGTGAAGTAATTGTAATACACACGAAATGCAGCGCAGTGCGAACATGCAACGGTGGTTGTTGTCTGCGGTTTAGAACAATAGTGGTTATTAGACCTAGGAGCCCGCGGTTGTTGAGGACTCATCAATGACCTCTTACACCGTGAATACGTACGCTGTCGGTAAAAAAGGGGGCTAACTTGTGTACTGTCTCGGGCGCAGCCTGATCGTGAAAGGCTTTCGCACGACTTTGAGCCAGGACGACATCCCTGCCCTTGCGGAAGACATGGATCCCGCGGCTTGCTCAGACATGCTGCAGCGACACTGGAGGCCAGAGTGAGTCACTGGAGATGCATTTCGGCAGTCTTACTATACTTTGATTAGTGAAGCGCCTCAAAGTATTTTAGGGGAGATGAAGCCTGTGCAGAGGCCTTTGTCCATCTCTCTTTCCCGCGGCGTCCACCCTGCACTGTCCATGCCCCGCTTCTCTCCCTCTCTCCTCTCCTACGCTCCCTCCTCTATCTCTACGGAGTGGCGTGCATGCAGGCGTGCATGTAGGTAGTTCATCGGTATGAAATAAGGGAGCACGCACGCCTCACTATCTCCCGCTAAACGCCGTGATGAGCGCACTTGTTAACGCCACCGCCAGTCAGAGTTAACGCCACAACAAGCGTCCGCAGGTTCCCTTTAGCGGGAGATGGTAAAATTTTTCAAATAGCTGTGAAATGGTCTACCGCCTTTTAGAGGTACATCAACAGGATGATTGAATAAAACTGTCAGGTTCCTAAACACTGCAAGCTGCACCTTCGTTTGTTATGTAACAGTGGTTTTTCTTAACTGCAGAAATCTCGTAGAGCTTTTTTCCGTCTCACCTAAATAGCGCAAAAGAACCCTCCAGCAAGGTCAGGTACCTTGGTGGCTCAAAAAAATCTGCAAAGCCAAACTTAAGCATTCGGTAATTGCGTGTAACTGACCCTTGATCATTTAATGGCGAGCGACGAAAGTGAGAAGTCGATAGACGTCAAAGTATTATCGTGGTTCGCTTGTAGCCTTTCGCCACTATGGAAGTTTGTACATAATGAGAGTCAAGGAAAAACTTGAAAAATGCAGCGCATGTGCCTCTCTACACTTTCGTCGTCCAACCCGTGTTAAAAGCATAATCAGCTCTGCGATAAAAAATTGCGCGACATTTAAGCTTCTACTTTTGATGAACGCATCAGCGACATCCTCTCCCTATTTAGTTCACTAACCACTTGGTGCACCAATTTGTTGTGTGATGTAACTCGGGAAGCTCAAATTATGGTTAACTACAATGTAATCAATAAAGCTGAAAGTGGCTTGTGCCAGTGAATCTTTGGATATGACTGCATTCTGTGTAATGAGTAACATGCTCTAAACAAAGCTTAGTAATTCCCATTAACTGTTTTCAAACTTCCTATGCAACCACTACGTAGTCCTTAGGGAACATGGGCAGTAAAGTGCTTGCCTTTTGTTATGGGTGGCCAGTTTTCAACTACAAGGTAGTTATGAAAATCACATGTTGCGACACCTGATGACCATGCACGTTTGTACCACGCAATATAACTGCGGTATCATGTTATACTGCCTGTGAGTGTAACCCCAGTATAATTTCTTCCAGTCCTAGTGTATTGGGTGACATGGCGCTCGACCAATGGCTTACGAAGGGCGTAACGTTTCTACTCAGGTCACGAGATGATGATGGTGATCAAAACTTTATTTCTTCCAAAAGTGGGGACCGGCCCAGAAGTCGGTTACGCTGCACCAGACTCACTAGCACTTGGCGGCAGCCCAAAGCTTCCCTATTGCACTGAGTAGCATGTGTGCAGAAGGCCACTGCGAAGCAATGCCCTTGTAACACAGTGCGCTTCATTCCAATGTTACTCGTTACATATATGAGTTCCTGCGTTATCAACTTGAGACATCGCAACGCTCGCCATATAAATTACGTTACGTATCCGTTGTAACACGGTTTTTTTTTTTGTTGTGGTGTCGTAGTATAATACTAACAAATTGCAGTTATGCAAAGATTCCGCAGCTTCTTTATACCGTGATTACCTCTTTTTTCGAGTGCCATAACTTGCCTCACTTTTTAACTCCTTTGCAGGGTGAAGACGGGAGGTCCCGGAGAAGGCAAAACGCTCGTGCACAGGCGCTCGCTGCTGTTTTCCCTGGTCAAAGCCTTTGCAGGTCCCCTCATTCAGATAGCTGCACTGGAGACCATATTTTGCGCCACCATGTTCCTTCCTATCTACCTGATGGAGTAAGCCTGCACCTGTTGCCATAAAAAACGTTCACTCAATTTTAAAGCATTCATATTGCAATAAGCCTTCTACAGATCATTGTCAGAATATATTAGCATTACGAAATAGATCCGACTGTACAAAAAAGCTTACTCGTAAAAGATAACTTAGATATACTACAAGCGTGTGTGTGTGTCTGCTACAAAGAATGGGCATTACTGCGTAGGCGCAAATTCAGAAACCTACATGAGTCCTGTTCTGCGGTGAGATGTGACGTGAAATAAGATACCAGACTACCATACCTTGCCATAACAACCAGCCTTTCTTAACCACAAAGGTGTATCACACTCGTCCGATTGAGATGATAATGTGGTAGGCCAAATAAACGAGGCATTCGTTGTTCAAGTACAACCTTTGGCAAAGTTTTCAATGCTGCACATCACTATCTACTAGGAAGCTCGATCTGACTACGGGTATTTTGCACATTCTTGCAGCGTTTTGATCCAATTTGGCGGCTCGCGGGAACCCAAGTGGAAGGGATACCTGTACGCCGTGCTCATGGCGGTGGCCAGCATGGTGGTTAACCTGCTCTACTCACAAGTCTATTATCTGAGCAGCGTCTTGGCGCTGCGCGTCAAGACTTCCCTGATAGCCTTTCTTTATCGAAAGGTATGAAAAGAGTGGGCTCAGTTCACGTAACATTCGTACCCTTCATCAGAAATCACGCAAGCGCTCATGTTCTAGTTACCTGTGGTTCCAATGAAGACAATCAGAAGTTGCAGTCATATCAGACACGCTTCAGCCGCAATCTTGTGTCTACAGCCAGTGGTAGTCAGTCTATTGTGTGCGCCCATATTATTTGTGGCTGTAGTGACGGAAATGTATAACACCTTTTTTTACGCTTTGTAATGCTCACTTCCACCTTTTGCGACTCATTAGTCTATCGATACTGAAAGGGCTCCGAGCCACTCCTCTAAATAATCATAGAATGAACTCAGTATCGGAGTTCGCTTGCTCCCTTACGAACTGATGATCACAAAAAAAATGATGGGCCATTTGCCCGAAGAGAACCCTGACGGGACGCGATGCAGAAGTGGTGCGCACGGCATTCAACCGGTTGAAACGAGCGTCGGCGCGGGTGCTGGAACAAAGGTCTGAAGCGAAACTCGGTGTAGCGTTTATTCGAGTAAACGTTTGTTTGGAACGCAAGGACACGGGAGGTGCGTTGGGTTCCACAAAAGTTTCATCGCAGATAAACGAACTGATAGCTTGACATGCAATCAAGCATTGAAGTTTTCGAATATTAACTAGAGGGGACTCTGGCGTCGCGATCATTCAGCGACCATGGGGATTATAGGTATTACATGGATTTGCCTAGTCTTCGTACTTGCGGGCGGCAAACGCACTTGTGGCTTCGTTTATTCTTGTGTTTTTGTCTTGTTTCGAATGAAAGAACAAACCGTTTTAAACTCCGTGAGCTTATTTTAAATGGTTATCCTAAAAGGTGAAGGTGGTGAAGCGTAACTGCCGAACATTTGCCAATTGTTGTTTTGTAACAAAAAAGCTTCAAGCCATGTGAATCCAGAACGAACGTAAAGTACGAAGACTAGGCAAATACATGAACTACCCACAATTCTCATGCTCGCTGATGCGCCCTGCGTTGCAGCTTCCATAGACACCAGCACCACCAGAGTTCCGTCTAGTGTATATTTAGTAAACTCTATGGTGGAGAGGGTGAAGTGAGAGAGAAGTGTGTTGCGAAAGGATCCAGGAAGCAGCAGTTGGTGTGGGTGAGGGAGGTAGTGACGTCAACGCGCAGCTGCGACTTCACCTACTTCGCATCTTTCCGACAACTGCGGCGGGAAAACGCGTTGAAGCGCTTTCGTGCGGGCGTACGTGACAGCGTTAGACAGGCTAGTCAAAGAGCTGCTTTCCGTCTAATATCTCTAATACCTCAAACACAAGCGGAGTTACAGGAAACTGTCACACGCTTCAAATCACTAAATCACTTCCTCTCTTCTTTCGTCCCGACGAACGCGCTGTGAGCTACACAGGGAAAGAGGCTTTGGGGACATGAAGCTACGTCGGCGGGCACCGTGCTCAATCTTTTCCGTTGTCACGCCAGCGTGTGCCAGTTTCTCTACACTAGCACGTGGCGACACTCTACGTCAAGATACGCATATAATCCAAACATCGTTCCTGGTTCATGTTTACTATTAGGCAATACCATATCATCTCGTAATTAACGTCAGACAGCAGCTGCCCCATGGCTTCCAAATAGAAGACGGATGTCTGCATGAAGAATGCGCTGAATAAAATGGGTAACTTGACACCCCACTCCTAAATCTCCTAACAGCACACAGCTTCAAGTTTTGCTGAGATGTTCATAGCAGGGTTTGCATTCCATAGAAATTGTTTTATTCCCGCTGGGTGGTTCATGACTCCTTTAGGAAGCGTAAGAGTGTCGTGGTTGTGGTGTGCTGGAACCACTTCAATCTCTGATCACATGTACCGTGCTTGCCAGCGCAGGTGCTCATGGCCTGGTCGACAGGCGGGGAGCAGCGCTCGGCTGGCGAGGTGATCAACAGCATCACTCTGGATTCGGACAAGGTCTACCAGGCCGTGCTGTTCGCCGGTGAGCTGTGGGGCGCCCCGCTGCGCCTCCTCATCACGATGGCTATGCTATGGCAGTACCTGGGTCCCTCTTGCCTGGTCGCCGTCGCCGTCGTTCTGGTCGTGCTGTTTGCCTCGTTCTTTTTTGCCCGCAGAGTACAAGTGGTCCAGGTAAGGGCCACAATGAAAGCAAAAGCTGAAGACGAATTAGGTTAATCACAAAGACGAGAATCTGCAGCATAAAAAGTATGTGTGACGTAGTAACAGCACCTCTATCGCGTAGGCATGACGTGGAAGGGACTCACAACCGTAGAACGAAACATCACGGAAATGAGGATGCCACCAGCCTTTTATTGGAGGACTTGAGAAACTGAGAAATTGCTCAAACATGAGCGTCAGCAACCATGAAATACGCATTGTTCTTCTTCTAGCAGCATAAGGGCGCTCGTAATATATGCCCCAGCTCAACGTGGGGGCACGGGCGATTTTTTCAATTCACTCGACTCATTTATGTTTGACAGCTACCCCATTTTCTTAGTAGGGGATTTTAACTGTGTGGAGGACACCAACAGAGATGCGCGCGGACGCAGAGAAAGCAGACAATACAGCGGAGTTAGTGCATTGCGACAACTCATCCGCAACTTCAAGCTCAGAGATGCGTGGGTCGACACTCACAGAAATGACTTCGTTGCAACATGGCGACGGGGTTCCAACATGACCAGGCTAGACCACTACTTTTTTCCAGAAGTGCTAGCCACTCATGTCCTTAGTTGCGAGGTCCTACATTTCTCACCGGACGTTCCATGCATTACAGACCACTTTCCAGTGTCTGTAAAGCTTTTCTTTGAACAATTCACTACATTTAGAAACCATTGGAAAATGGACACCACACTCGTGCACGACCCGAAAAGCGTAGCATTACTGCGCAATGCACTAGAGCAAGCATGCAAAAGGCTGCCTGAACCCCGTAACTGGAACGCATTGAAACGCAGTTGGCCCGCCGAGCTTATCAAAGCGGGGCGCGAAAGGAAAGCGCGCCTGACGACAGAGATAAACGACACGCTACGAAAAGCACACATCGTGCGCAGAGGCGAGACGCTGACGTTCGCAATGCACGACTATCTCCATCAGCTAAAGGCGCGGTGCGAACTTTTGCTACGTCTTAGTTCGCGCACGGCTGCGCAGTCTTTTATCAAAGGACGACCGGTTTCAGATCCAGCTGTCCTTCGAAGTGTTCGCAACTGCTCCTTTGGTGGACAAATACATGTCCATTTCGTTCAGTTGCCGAACGGCGAACAGTCTACACGAGAAGAAGACATAATGAGGGTCTTCGAGACACATTTTTCGAATCTTTTCAGGGCAGAGAGCGCAAACGACGTGAACTATACCACCATAGTTAACGAGTTTTGCGAGGGAATTTCCCGCGTACCGGAGGAGCTCCGCGATGGTCTGTGCAGCCCAGTAACGCTGGATGAATTACGCATCGGGCTTCAGCGCATGAACACAGCCGCCGCCGCCGGCCCTTACGGGATACCTTTGAGTTTCTACAAGACCTTCCTTGAAACAATACAAGACCACCTTTTGACAATGCTTAATGGGCTTCTTGCTGACGAGTCAGACCGAATACGTTTCATGAGAGCAGAGTTATACTCTTGCTTAAAAGCGAAGGAGAGCTGTCCGATCCAAGGGCGTGGAGGCACATCTCCTTACTTAATTCGGATTGTAAGATATCAACAGCTATCCTTGCTAACCGCGTAACAACTATTCTGCCGGAAATAGTAAGCGACATACAAACATGCTGTGTCCCAGGTCGTATGACCTATTCCTCGCTTGCACTGACTCGCGATTTATTCACGTACGCTACAAGAACACAAATATCTGGCATTTTTGTTTCCTTGGATCAGGAAAAAGCATTTGATCGCGTAGAATGGAACTATCTCTTCGCCGTGCTTGAGTGTTATGGCTTCCCAGCACATTTAGCCGACACCCTCCGCTTACTCTACACGGACTTAGAAACGTCATTAGTAGTGAATGGCCATACATCTGAACCTATTGCAGTAAGTAGGGGCATTCGACAAGGCTGTCCCCTCTCCGAAATCCTCTTTGTATTATGCATAGATGCATTATTCAAACAAATCGAGAAATGCACTTCGATACGCGGTTTCCCTCTCCCAGGCTTGGGCGAAGTGAATGTAGCGGCATACGCCGATGACATCTCGTTGTTTATTCGGAACATAGATAGCTACAAAGCATTCCTGCGAACATTCCACACGTATAGTTACCTGCCGGGAGCACGCCTTAATCCCGGAAAAAGCAAGGCATTGTGCTTTGGGATGCACATTGAAGAGTTCCCTGATGGCGTCCAAATCGTCCAAGGCGTTAAAGTCTTAAGTGTAACTTTCCTTTCGACTGGTGAGGTAGCCCGCACCACATGGAGAGAAATCCAACACAAAGTGGACAGACGCATCGAAGTCGCCAAAACGTTTCAACTACCTTTTACTGAAAGAGCTTATCTAATTTATTTCAACATAATAGCACCACTGCTTTATGTAGCCAGAATTGCCCGACCACCTCGACGGGTTTCGCAGAGAGTGGCTCCTGCGTGCGGCTCCTTTTTTTTGAGATGGCCATGCCGATGCTCTTGCCAGAGCCTTGGTCCACCTACCAGTAAAATGGGTAGGGCTCAGTGTACCCAATCTTGATGTAATGTGCCGCATGTTGGCTCTCAAAAACACCTGGGCACTCTTAGAGAACTCATCGTATCGAGGCAGGCAACTTGAAGTGTATCTGCTAGCTACCTCTAGAAGACTGTTTGGTTTAGCAAACGACACGGGACCAGCTGCTGAGCAGCCACCAGCGTATTACACACATGTTATAAAATCTTTACAACAATGGCGAAACGATTTTCCAGTTCAAGAACTTATGGAAACGTCCCCCATCGACTTGAGCGAATTAATAGCATTTAAAAGCCTATCTGAAGAACAACGCCGGAAATGCCGGGTGAAAAGACGCTGGACTCTTACGAACACGTCTTTCCCCTCAGAGGTCCGTGACCTAGACTGACTCAGGGAATGGGGGGCTTTGCCAACGGCCGACCGCCTTGCGGCGTGGGGCGTGACGCCCTCCGCCACATGCCCGCAATGCGGTCGCGTCGAAACACTGAACCATGTCTTCCATGAATGTATAGTAGCGCGCACCTTTGGCGCATGGTTACCAGGATGTTCCAAACAAGTACGCAGTAGAAGTCTAGCCACAGGGATAACTAGCCACATGTCTAGCCACATGAAGTTGTCGCCGAGTATAGCTGATATCCCGTGCATTGCTTCGTATTTGCCGCAAAGCTGTAACTGTTTTTAATAAAACACATCACAATAATTTTTGTCAACTAGGCCTAATCAAGTGTTAAGCCCCCAGGACGGCTTTGTTCTCTCCCATAGTAAAGTGCCCAGTAGTCTAACTCGCTAACCACTTCTTATAAGCACAGTACTCTAAATTCTTAGACTTCTTTTTTACTTCGCTAGTGCCTCGGACTGCACGTAAATCTTCTCGTTTTAGTTTTCTAAAAACACAAATCATCTAGATATAACATTGACCTGGCTATCATCCAGCCGTACGATTCACCTGGGAGGTAAGGTCTTGAGTTGTAATTACAGAGGGCATGGTGCTTAAACCCCGACATCGGCAGCAACATATAAATAAAGAGCGAAAGGAGGAACGCTCATGAACTGGGCTTAGAAGCACCTTAGTGAACACACGCTGGTCAAAATATCCAAAGTCCTATACTAATAACGCGTAATGCATTACCATATCACCACCAGTGCTTGTAATGCGCTCGAAAAGATGCCTAGCCATTACAACCGACCGATTAAGCTTACCATTGGGCATTCCAACGAGATGGACGCGATTCGCATTTTTAATATTTTCATAATATTTATTGTTACTGTGGTTACAAAGAAAATGACACAACAATTCTACCTCTTGCAGCGTGCTTGGCAGCAGCATTCCTTGGTATATATTCTACCGCTGAGATGGAGCGAAAAATGTTGCAGACACTCTAGCTGTGCGTCGGTTACGCTCGGCTCCTCATAGATATAGTGGCTATAGCTAGGGGCTTACAGAAAACTGCGTATATTTCGCGTTGTTAGCAAGCGTGTCTTGTCAGCGCAGAAAAATGCGTAAAGTTTGCGTTTTGTATCGGCGTGTCTGGTTGAGAGCCGGTCAGCTTGCTGCAAACTTATGGCGAAACAAAGTGAAGCTCCGCGGCAAGATGTCACTTCTACGTCCCGTTGCTCGCACGAAAGTTCTGCGAACGTGCACTACAAATCTTTCTGCGCCTTTTGTATACATCGCTAGCGTTCGATGGCGTGACCGGCGTGGATCGTAAAAGCTCTGCTGAAAGCGTCAAATGGGACAACAAGCTTCGTTCTCTGCCCAAATCCGGCCACTGCCACCGGCGACAGCGTGTCTTCTCATCAAAAATGTTGAGTGGTCATGTCAATTTAGAACTGTGAAGAACGAATTGCCAAGAAGGCTTGTGACGATTGCATGCGAGAGGCGTGATTTGCTTCCAATTCTTGAACACGCATTTATCACCCACTGTTGCTTTCAATAGCGCATGTCTATAACGGAACAGTGTAATTCTCCCAAAAAGAATGACTGACTTTATGGCAATAGGATGGAAAGGTGGGCTAGTTGGTAATTCAGCGTGGTTCAGCGAACTGGGAGCGCGGGGGTAAATACAGACACAAAGCAAAGAGGAGGCACACAGCGCGAGCGCATTGCTAATTTCGCTCTCAGTACCTTCTCATTTAATTCGTCCGTAGAACTACGGCACGAACAGTACGTAATTGGAACCTCTATAGGACTTGCTAGCAAACATTGAAGTTCCCTAAAATACAGGTCAGTGACTTTCCCGGCAACGCATAAGTTTTAGCGTTACCGAGCAGGTTCCTTGCCCAGCACTGACAGTGCCCTCTTTCCGATGCAGACGGCTCAAATGGAGAAAAAAGACAGGCGGGTCAAATACGTGCATGAGCTGTTCAGCGGAATCAAGGTGAGTCCTTATTGCGCTGCAAAATAATACTTTTGGGCAGGGGTTTTCTAACAACCTGCCCTTGAACAGTAACAGTTTATCCTGAGCGCCGCAGAACCTCTAAATTTTCTTTGAGCACGAAGACAACAAAACACGATTGGGTGTGGCAGGGAGGAGCATGGGAGGTGAAAAGCCAATGTGTTCACTCTGCCCACACTGACATGTTCTTTTTTCTTCAATATTGAAGGCAATCCCCATTAATCTGGACCTATCGATAATACATACACTTGCTATTCCCCCCCCCCTCTCTACCCGCAACGATCTGGGAGTCACGTAAAACGCCCACCGACGATACGCTGCGTGCTTTAATCACTGCTCGGCGTTAACGATGTGCTTGCCCAAACAAACTGAGGGACGTACGAAGGCCCATTTTTACGCAAAACAACAACAAAACAAAACAACAAGACGGGAAGGCATTTCAGTAGGCTTGTGCGAATATTCGAATGAATCGAATATTCAAACGAATTGTTGAGTATTCGAATTCGCTACGACTCGAATTTAAATGATCGAATATTCTTGAAGTATTCGCAATGAACAAATAGGTGTATATTAATCGTCCGCAGGTCACTGCTTGTAAAGATGGTTTCTTTGCAATAAAGAAGTGCTAAACAGTAAAAGCCCCTGCCTCAAAAAATTTGTTTTGCTGTGAAGCCCTTTTTCAAATTTAAAGGGGCCCTGAGACACTTACTGAACACGATCAGAAAACGCTGTCATCGAAAGTTGACGCTACCAAAAACACGCGAGGCAAATATTGTAGCGCTGCACGTGGCGTGTAATTGACGGTAAATTTTCAAAACTAAAAATTGCTTTCTTTGCTCGGCAAATAACACTCACTGCAAGATCAAGAATCACTAGTCACAGCCAAGAAGGAATATACGGCTCTGGTCATGGGCATTGGCTGATTTGAGAACGGTGGGCTCATCGTTACCGGGACCGCCGCTTGTCCACTAGCATGTACACGATCGCACTCAAAATCCGCGTATTCAAAGAAATAAAACAAAAAAAGAGGTGCTCAAGGTCACGAGGTGGATGTGACGTATTTTCTTTCGCCATGCCATTCCTCCCCGCTTATCTTCCAGCTGTTTCGTCGGGACGAGAAGAGAGAATGAAATTGCAGCCTGCTACAAATTTTTTGAAGTCTGCTCATACTGAACTGATTCTAGAAACTTTGCGGCAGTAAATTTGTGAGGCAACAAGCATGTTCACTGGCTCCATGGCTACTTGAAAAAGTGTTGCAGGGTCCATTTAAAGGAACGTGTTACCGCCCCGCCGCGGTGGTCTAGTGGCTAAGGTACTCGGCTGCTGACCCGCAGGTCGCGGGTTCGATTCCCGGCTGCGGCGGCTGAATTTCCGATGGAGGCGGAAATGTTGTAGGCCCGTGTACTCAGATTTGGGTGCACGTTCAAGAACCCCAGGTGGTCAAAATTTCCGGAGCCCTCCACTACGGCGTCTCTCATAATCATATGGTGGTTTTGGGAGGTTAAACCCCACATATCAATCAAATACATTTCAGTCACTCAGATAAACGGCCTGCGACTACGGTCATAAGATTAAGCCTAATTGCTCGTGCAGAACACAGCACAGAGTGGTGCTTTCTACGCGTATCAAAGCACTTGTTGCGCAGTTTAGTTAGAAAACCAACATACAGCAGTGGCAAATCAATGTGTATGAAAGCTGCAACGTCATGTCCGACGCGCCAATACCCGCGAATAAAGCGCCGAGGTTCCTGTTAGGGTCGTTTTAACTGGTTTAAATGCTCAGGAACTTGAATTATCAGCGTTTCACGCGTTCTGCGAACACGGGTCAGGAAATCCCAATAGTTTAAAGACGTGCACTCAAAGACGATGAGTTGGTCGTGCTGATACACGTAGGTTTCTCGCTATCAGCAGACACCCGATAGTGGATGTGGCATGCAATGTCTTAGTTAAAGGCATCATGCAACACTTTTTTCAAGTAGCCACGGAATTTATTCACTAAAGGAGTTATTGCCTCGCTACCATCGCCGTAATTTTTAAAAATCTGTCCAGTACGAGTAGTCTTACTACGATTTGTTGCATGCTAACAATTGCATGCATTCCCTTATCTCTCGTCCCAGCGTAAGCGCTGGCAGCTAATCAGGGAGAGATGGCACGGAGAAAGCAAATACGAAACACTGGCCTCCTGACCTTGAGCACTTTTTCTCTTTTTTTTTTCTTCGAATACGCGGCTTTTCAGTGCGATCGCGCGCGCACATGGGGCAAGTCGAGGCCTCCCGCGGCGGTTTCTGTAACGACCGATCTCATCATGCTCAAATCAGCCGATAGCTGATACAATGGTTGTCACGAGTGATTTTTGAGCTTGTTCAGTCATTTGTTGATAAAAGAAAACGCGATTTTTAGCCCATTTTGAGAATAGATTGCGAATTCCTGACCTCATGATGTGCTATGATCTTGACTTGCGTGTTTCCGGGAGCCTCCACTACCGATCAGCGGTGTTTTCTGACCACGCTCAAGAGGTGTTGCAGGGTCCTTTGAAGTGCAAAATACAATGCAAATTCACTTGTGTAAACACACAGATTAGTTGCAAAGTGAGAAAGCGGGAGCAGGTTCCACGTATTCTGGCCGCTCACGGGAATTTAAGGCCGCCTGCTCGGAACCACTGTGTTCCGTGAACCTCATTCAAATACCAATGCAATAGAACAATATGTTGCTGTTAGAATGCTGACCTTCGTCGTCTTTTACTGCGAGAACGAAGCCCCCATCCTTGTGCTCTGCTTTCCGATGCTTGCTTTGCTCAGCCCCTTAACGACATGCCAAATAATATAGGCTATGAATTGCCGATAACTCAAAGGGCCAGTAAAGAACCCCGAGGTCCCAAAGTTGTTATTAAGAGGTATATGTGCACTTTTGCTTTGTGAACACGCTGCCGTAAGAAGTTTACGAATACGTGCTATATTGAGGAAATCACAGAGGTTAGAGGGTTGGTTTAGGCTGGTTTGAAATTTTCGCACGTCTACGTCACACTCCCCTTCTACAGGAAGGGGAAGACGTAGCCCGTCGTCGTGATGGGCGTCAAGTCACCGATCGGTGACTTAGCGTCACTTCGCGTGAAGAGAGGATGGACCAGGCGTTGGAAATGAGCGCGGGAATTGTTTTCCAGAAGGGAGGCACTTCGCGGTGCACAATGCTCCGACATTCGGAAGGACCGTGGTCTACTGTACGAATTGCCGAGCTTGTTTTGGGGGAAGGGAGGAAGTCGGAGCCTGTCGACTAGCCTATAAAAGAGTATTAGGCTTCATGCACATTGACAACTGGCAGTGGTCACGCATATAACTTGACCACGAAGCGTCGCAAAACATCGTTTTGGTCAAGAAACCGCTGTTTTGGCTAAGCACTCACTATTCGCCTTTCCAGTCGTACGAGTACAGTCGCAAAGTAATGGACAAGTGGAGGAACAGGATATGTAGTAGTTTTTTAAATGTGATGGCGAAGCGAGCGGGCACGAACAGCATCGCAGTCGAGATGCATGTTGGTGCTGCGAAAGGCAGTCGCTGATGTAATTGTCCACCATTCGCTCCACTTTTCACTTACCATTGGCAAATGGAAGCGCAACCTCTTCAAAAGGTTCACTAGTTCGAGTGTTTTGTTCCTTCGAATCTCCAGTAGATGCATGTAAATCCACAATCTAGATGAGCACGGACAGATGGAAAGACGTAGTGGGATAATCAGGGCGAACCGTGGAAGTGCCTCAGACAGGCTGGTCGACGTTTCGATAGGAGGACCTATCTTTCTCAAAGGCAATTGAGAAAGATAGGTCCTCCTGTGTAAACGTCGGCCAGCCAGTCTGAGCATTTTCACCGTTCACTCTGATTATCCCATTATCCCACAGTAAGTGCATGTGTAGTTCATCGTGTTTCACGTAATAGCATCTTAGTATCATACCTAAAGAACACCAGTATAGTGTCTTTGTATTTCTTGAAAAGATCCTGAAGCTTTACGCGTGGGAGGAGCCGTTCCAACAACGCGTGGTGGATGTCCGCAAGAGCGAGATGGAGATGCTGCGCAAGATCGCCTTCTACTTCAGCCTCATGAATTTCGTCTGGAACTGTATATCCTTCCTGGTGAGAATCGCTTTCTTTGCATATACAACAGAACTTTTCTCCCTATAGCAGGGGGAAGTTATCTTCGATTGTAGTGGAGAGAGGGGGTTGTCCCGAGTCAGGTAAAGCAAACGACCGAAAATCCGTCCATCGTGACCTTATCGTACGCTGGCCGCCATAGTGTGCTCGCCGCCAGGTATGGCGTATACAAACCCGTGGCCCGAACGCTATCGGCTCCGACAAATGATGCTGACCAAGGTGAAGATATATGCATGCTCGGTTTAAAGTTTTTTTGCGAGAGTACGATTTATGTGGCTTATAGATGAACTGATGTTTAGTGTTGCAAGGAACGCAGGAGCAAGAGGTGATTGTGAAGAAAAGGCATCAGGTAACTAAATAGAAAAAAAACTATTATGTACAAGTTTCTACACTATTCCAAATTGTTAGTGACAGAAAAGGCACTTAACAGGCTCACGAGGAACATGAATGCGAATTAGAGACATTCTTTGGAGTATGAGTGTACACAAGGAAGACCGAAATGTACCGATTTTGAAATAAAGTAGGCCTAGTATATCTGATTGGTTTGCTCCATTGAAATGCGGCCTTCGCGATGCTTGAAGTATCGCTTTGGCGACGGTCTACTTCAGCTAAATGAACTACGAGATTTGCACACTAGGTGTCACTGGTGACCTTCATGACGTTCCTGATGGTGGGCTCGCACGGACTGGACCCAGTGACGGCGTTCGTGTCTCTTGCACTGTTCAACACCCTGCGCTTCTCTCTCCTCCTCATCCCGGACCTCATCGTCGGCTGCGTAGTGGTGGGTGTCCGTGTGCTCGCTCATTTGGACAGCACAAACGCGACGCTTTTTACCCCCCGCTGTGAACTTATGCTTACACTACGCACATAAACTCTATATTTAGCAAAACGAGCATGTTCATAAGCAGAGTTTTGGAAAATTGTCAATGAGTTGAGAAGTCTCTGGTTTTTTGCCTTTCTTACTCGTATTCTAATGATACATCTAAAGCTTTCTCAGAATAGGTTAATCTAGCTTCTTGTAGTATTTTGAAAAGCTTCTTTCACGCTTACGCGAGTTATGGTTATGAAAAGCGTTAGAGAAGACGGCCCCATTTAGTAGATTTTGGTCTGGGCAAGTTTGTTCATTTCAACAGGAAGTCACTGTGCGACTGAGGCAATGAACAAAAAACACGCAACTCCTGCTCTCATTCATGTTTTGTGTTCTTCGTCCATTGTCTCTGCCTTCCTGTTCACACAAGGTTTACCATCTTGTCAGTTTATTAGCTACTTTCACGGCTACTATAGTTTGTTTATGGTACGTGTTAGGGTTTGATGTGATCTCTACTTAGGCTTAGTTGTAGTATTGCCAACTCATACGGTATTTACACCCAAGCTTTGCCTATTGGATAAATTAGCGTGCTGTGATGGAGACGGAACTATAGTTATCCATAGAGACAGGCGTCCAAAAGTGTTGGTTGTGCTGATGGCCGTCAAGATTCTTATGGTGAAATCCCTGACCGACCGATGGAGCGTCAGACGTATACTCAGGCATTATGTTCTTTCATATAAATACTTAATAACACGGGACCAACGAGTATGTCGGCTCCATTAGTAGTTTACGTACAACAATAAGATAGTCGCTAGTGGGCTAGTCGACAAATTCTTATTATAAACAGCTTCACGGTTAATACATACACCACAGCCTCACTAATGGGCTAGTAAAATACAGCTTCACAGCCACTCAATATACGACATCCAGTGACGTTTATGGCGATTCAGAGTTTTCAAGTTTTTAAAGTGACGCTGAGTCACGAATAAATGGAATTGCGTTGTATTGCCACATATTACACTGTTTTATTGGTTGTTTTCGTCACTAGTGGTTAACAGATATACTACCTTTTTTAATCGCCATGAAGCATATGAAAATCCTACAGCAACCTCTTAGTTTGTATTTGTACGCAGTGCAACGTTGCCATGGGCCGCATGCAAGACTTTCTACTGAGTGAGGACGTCGATCCAAAACAAGTTGGCAGCCAACCAGACCCGGGTACGCCTTGTCTGTCTTTTGAAGTAACCATGTATTGCACCCATATTGTGCCTTGTTCGTTGAACATGATAGCGTAATTTTAGGTGGAGAAGTATTTTCGATTGTATAGAAAATAGTAAGACAGTGGTACCAGCAGCGTATACTGTGGTATGCGATCCTGGACGAAGTGTAAAACCACGTGAGGGGCAGAAAGCTAGCAAGGCCTTAGATCCGCGCTGCAGTGCGAAAGCAACATCACGTGCAGCGGTGTTTCGGGTTGGGGAGGGGATCCTTAAAATTGACTACGTAATGCAATACCTGACTTTTGATACCCCCCCCCCTCCTTGTAGGTGACGCGGTAACCATTCGCCAGGCGTCATTCAGTTGGCACCGGCAGGAAGGGGGTATGGTACTGCAGGACGTGGACATCCACATCGCTCAAGGTCAGCTTGTGGCTGTCGTTGGTCAGGTGGGCTCTGGCAAGACGTCTATCCTGTCTGCCATCCTCGGAGAGTTGCGATGCGTCAAGGGCTCACTCGACAGAAAGGTGAGCGATGCCAACATTGCTGGCTCATATAACTGCAATGGAGTCGTAAGCGGAACTGTTGTTCAACTTGTGGCGCCCGTCCACGAGCAGTGAAAAATAAAATGAAGCGATGGCGCCATCTTGACGCCGCAGATACCCAAATTTGTGACGTTACAATGAAGTCTTCGATCGTGTTGTGTTAGGCTAGTTGCGGGCACTGTGTAGAAAATGAAACCTAGCGGTACGTTGCACGTACGTGTTCTGCTGTGCCAGTCGAGTATCAATGCCGCGTTGGCTCGGTCGTGCGGGTGAAGCATGAGTCCCGTTCTTAGTGCACTGATGATGCCCGCAATGAAAGTGTTTACCGTCGTCTACTTTTTCAGTGTGCTTTAAACTAATTTTTAATATATCATCACCCAACTAGCCACACTCGACACCCTATAAGTACATGGGTTAACCGCTTTCTCAAAAGCTGTTGATGTGCTGCAACCATCTATTTAAGAAACACGGAGTCTGCTTCTCTTACTGGTGTTCATTTTTGCTACGTGAAAATGACCAATAGATGGCGCCCAATTTATTTTTTGGGGCTTTAATTTCTTGATTTGTTTTTGTGCAACGAATGCAGGAAAGTCTTCCACTAGCATGAGCGTTGGCAATGCCAGGACGTGGTTGATAGGCTAATCGACGTTACTTACGGGCCTCCAACAACACATCGCCTTTAATTGGGACCTCCGTGCAGGGCAAAGTGGCGTACGTCGCTCAACAGGCTTGGATCCAGAACGCCACGGTGCGCCAGAACATCCTCCTCAAGAGGCAATACCACTCGTGCTTCTACGGACGCATCGTTCAGGCCTGCCAGCTTCAGACCGACCTCGCCGAGTTGCCCGCCGGTGACCAGACAGAACTGGGCATGCGTGGGGTCAACCTCAGTGGGGGACAAAAGCAGCGCATCAACCTCGCCAGGTGCGACCATACATTAAAAGTACTGGTGGCCTTTGCAACATCTATTGGTGCCGTTCGCTAAACTTCATGCGCATGGACCACTGTTTTCTGTGACCATGTAGCTTTACTCTAACATGCACAAACTGGGGTAATGCCGAATTATGCGCCCACCTACATTCACCTGAGTTTACGCTGATTTTTACTCATCAGAATAAACGTTTAACTTGACTCTATTCACTTGTCAGGGCAAATAATATACTGGCATGTGGAAGGTGCGCAGTTGTGACAGAGTTTTGAGAAACCACAAATAAAGTGAAACAGTACAAGAAAGAAAGGTCGCAGTGTACACTGTAGTATGAGGGATAAAGCTGTGTCGTCATAACGGCCAGATCTGGCATGGAATCTAGTTAATAACGCGAAATTTAAGAAGCCGTGAGTGTCATAGAAAGGTCGCAGTACTGTAGTATGAGGGCTAAAGCTCTGTCGCCATAACGGCCAGATATGGCATAGAACCTTGTTAATAACGTGAAATTTAAGAAGCCGCGAGTGCCCTTCGAAGGCTTCTCATCCCGGTTCTGACAGTGCATCTATCACATGCTTGATTACCTATACGTGCAGCGCAAGATCAGTTCAACAATATATTGTAGGGGTTCGGGGCCGACAGAGAAGCATGTTTCCTGCGCTGAGGCTCGGCCACATCTGTCCGCAGCCAGAGGCTGCCGCGTGCCACGAGCGCACCCGCGATCGTCGTGCTACTCTTCCAATCGCACGCTGGAGGCCGCCGCGACCATACAGTTTCCTTCTCTCGAAAAAAAAATGCAGAGGAAAAGCCGCAGCGGTCCACACGTGGCGCACAAGACCACATGCCGGCGCAGTCAATCCGCTCAGGGGGGCAACGCCGCCGCCCGAAAATGTAGGTGCACCCAACTCGCACGTCATTCGCATGACAGAAGCCAGATGCTCCTTGTGCAGCATTGGTTCTAGCGAAATTGTAAGCCGTTGTGTGTAGTTACCGTCCTAGCTGTCCGGACATTCCATGTGCTGGTGGAGGCCGCTTCTACAGGTAGGAGTCGTTGAACGCCCGTGACCTCGGCAGCTATAGAGGCTTAGAGGTCTCATAGAGGTACTCGCTCGCTGGATTTCGTGACGACCGGTTGTGCCCCCGCAATATCCGACGACAGCGCAGCTCTGGCCGACTGGTCTCGCCCTACGCCATCTCCTGACGCTGACAAGAGCTCTCGCCGAGTGGTGCCCCGTCCTCGGACTCCTGCGACCGTGTCCATCTTTCCTATCTTCTCCTTACTTCCGTCGTTCTCTGACCCTGCGCCTCGCTCTCTGTTTCCTCTCTCTATATATCTATTTTTAATGTTATACTTTTAATTCCTCCTTTACCCCCAACCCTCGTGAGCTACTGTTGAGATGTCCCCCCCCCCCCCCTGAGAGACAGTTACGGGGCCCACTTTTCTCTTCTTTTCATTTAAAATCACCCCCCCCCCCCTAAAAGGCTTGGCTACCTGCACCTTCGGTGGCCACTCTTCAGCTTTCACTGATATTGGTATCACGTATACTCAGAGAGATGTGCGCCTCGACATCACTGTGATCCCCCTCTGTGTCGTTGCGGAACCACCTGGCATGCCCTGTGGTTCGGCAGCTACGTTCCAGCGGGAGCTCGTGCGCTCGAGAAACAACACACCAAGGGTGTTGCGCTACAATATGAGCTTATGCTACATATATTCATATTCCAGAAGTTCATATTCCGCTGCAATATGAATAATATTTTGGCTAATTTGTGTACATATATTCCGCAGCACTTTCGTTGTTGACTTTTCAATATCGACGCCATGTGTTTTCTGCAACTGGTTTGTCAGTGATGGTGGCTGATAACGGAGCATTTGCTGACTATAGTTTGTGCGACATCTTGTCGCACAAACTATGGGAAAGAGGTGCATGGGAAGAACTATGGGAAGCAGTATATATAAAAAAAAGCTGCATACTATGTATTTATATATAGTTGCGGCTGCCGCGAAAGGCAATACCGTTCCCCCATGCGTTCTCGCGATCATAAATACAGCAAGCCTTACGTTCGAAAAAAAAAAGAAAAACGTGCACAAGATTACCACGTACGCTTACATGAGGGGCAGCGTCTTGCACTCATGTCAGCCCCTCCTCCCCCGCTGCCTCACTGTCAGCGCACTCGGTGGAACGAGTGCGGAGAGAGAGAGAGAGAGCACTTGATGCACGCGACAAACTTATCCACTAGCATTTGCCGGATTCCAAATATTTTAGCTGTAGGTGATTCGTGACACCGCAGTAAAGGAGCCCTTTGATGATTAATTCAAAAAATGTTCCATGGCCCCTTTAGTGAGATGATCGCGAATTCCCCTAGTGGAGCCCTTCCTAAATATCGCTTTTACACTATCCAGGGTCTAGAGGAAATTACCGAAGAGCGAACGTCGAATAGGTTTAGCAGGACACCCTGGCAGGCAACCACCTACAATAGTGTCGGAATAATTATCTTTATTGTAGTAGAGGTCACGTGATAAGTTTTCTCGTCCGTGGTCACTCCAGGTGTTTTATAACGTCCACTCCTTCCATGCCGTCCAGATTCAGGGTGTGCTCACGGTAGAGCCCCTCCAACCTTACTTTAATGCTCTTGGTAGGAAATGGAATGGGGAAGAAAATATCACTCAGTTTCCTGTTTAGAAAAAAATTGGTTCAAATCTGCATGTTACACCGCAAATGTCGTCGAAAGACGATAGTCGTGCGTCTGGAGAGAGTGAACAAAACGTTTATTTGATGTTCTGCGCAAGAAAATCGGTAAATGGTATTCTGGAAGCGCTGCGTTAGAGTGCCTCTAGCATGTAGCGGAAGTGAACGAGCGCATCGAGGTACGTTAGACACAAGCGCCTTCTGGCAGTTATTTTCGAAAGCGAAGGCGTGCAGCCCGCGGAGAAAGATGCGTGCCAGTCTCGGAAGTGATGAGGTGTAGAACGCAAAGCGACGGGCAGGTGCCACCACCATGACGTCATAACAAAGCGGTGGAAACACCTCTTTGAGCATCGCGTTTCACTGTCAGTGCAGCGCGATAAACGCTACATTCCTTATCTTCTAGTGTGAAGGCAGACATGCAAAAACATCGAAGCGTAGTTGTGGCGCCTCAGATATGCGCAATATTGGCTTTTTAATTCACAATCGCACATCTATGAACGCTAAACGTTGAGCAGTATTGCTGGGCGCTGTGGATGGGGTTGGCCGTTTGAGCTATCGTTAGGGCGGACAGACAGACAAATGGACAGACAGACCAAACTTTTTCCGTCGAAGGTCCCCAAGAAAAACTATTGTCTTTAAAAAGGTTTAACAATTTCGAGTGCTTCGTACTCAACTATAGGAGAGCACCTAGCTGTCCTGCTAAAAGCAGTACACCCATGAAGTAACATAATAGAATGTTACTCCATGGTACACCACTATTTCAGAGAAGTGTAGAGGAGGGGGGGGGAAAGGTGGGTAACGATTTAGAGTACAGGGTGCTCTACTATAGGCAATAAAAAACACAAGTTGACACGACACGTACTGAGAAGTGTAACACGCTTGATATGTCGACTTAGCGACTGCCTTTTGGCCGCGCAGGGCAGTATACCAGAACGCCGATCTCTACATCATGGACGACCCACTGAGCGCCGTGGACGCCCAAGTCGGCTCGGCGCTTTTCCATGGCGTCATCGGTCCCCGAGGACTTTTAAGAAACAAGGTACTGGCCTTCTCACATACAGTATATTTCCTTATACTTACAAATCATGTTTACTGTGATGACCGAAGAAAAAGGGGCAGAAAAGGGTTGTGGTTAGCGGGCAGACGAGCGACTCAGAACAGATTTAGAACAGCCAGCCCAGCGCGTAAGGGCGTTGTCTCTTTGTTCTCTGTCACTTCCTTTACAATGGCGCACTCTATAGTTTTTAGCAACAGCTCATTATTATGAGTTAATGCAAAAGAGACGGAAATTCAGGAGAAAAAGGTGGTTTCAAGCGATGCGAAGTCATTTAGCAGGAATTATCACCTGTGCCAACGTTTCGACAAATGGACTCGCGTCTACCGCAAGGCAATGTACCGATAGGCCCCACCCCTTGACAATGACATATGCGTTTAATATTTAACGGTTTCTCAATGATTGAAGTCTCCAACTTTCCATCAATCTGTAGAAATTCGTCATCATAAAGCACACTTGGCGCCTCTTATATGGAAGCTTTCGTTTCTAGAAAAAGTTTAGCCTGAGCCCAACTGTTTCGGGTTCCACCTCGCATGGCTTTTTGCTACACCTCACACGGACAGACCCGTGTTCTGGCAACCAACGCGATGTCGCTGCTGCCCATGACCGACATGGTGATAGTGATGCACCAGGGACGCGTCAAGGAGATCCACCGCGCTCCGTACAGCCAGCGGCTGTTCGACAAAGGGCTGGCGCTGAACGTCCTCATTTCGTCACCACCGGTGGTGCAACAGAAGCCGCACAAAAAGCAAGCAGCCCCAGACGGTGGCGTGGCCAGGCCTCTGATCAGGGCTATGTGTGACGACAAGTGAGTGATCCGGCTCGTTGTCGATCAAAGAGGATTGAAATGAGAAATGCTGGGCGGCAGCTCACGAAACGTATTACCGGCAAAGACGAAGCCACGCTTTGCCTCTGGTTTGTCTCAGAAACATGCCGTTTTAGGATGGCGCACGCTTTACACGCATATAGTGTTTTTTTTCTCTTTTAAAATGAACATTTAACTAATTATAAAATTAGAAGGCATTTTTCCTGGTGAATATATTTAGAAAAAGTTTTTAATGACTGCGAGTACTTCGTACTCAACTGTGGGAGAGCAGTGCGCCATCCCTTTGCTAAAGCCGAAGCTCCTACGGAAATTGCCCAAACTTTGGGTCCATTAGGAAAACCGGTAAGTGACATATTGGCTCATATCAAGCACCACCTTCAGTCCATAAACTTTCGGCATATTAAATCAGCATGGACTGTCAGGAACACAATGTTGCTTTTTTTTGCGAAGCGCTGAGATTTTATCTTGCCACTCTAGCAATATTTTATAAACGCCTCTGTAGACGGTAGGATGATGTAATGAGTTTTGAGATATGCGTGCCAGATGTCAGTGAGATGCAGTGTCCTCCGTGACTTGCAAGCAAGTTCGTAGCCACGTGCATTGACTTCAGAAATTATCAATATCCCAAACAGTACCGAAGACGTTTGCAAAGAGCTGCTTTTTTTATAACCCCTTATATATTACCCAGCGAGAAGTAATGGCCTCTGCGTTCGGAACGCCAGACCAACTCGATTTGAAAATCCTGCAGATTGCAGGAGGCTGCACTGCAAAGTTGGCGAAAAGCAGGCTCCCGTGTATTGAAGATTGTGGTGTTTGTTAATGAACCCTAGGTAAGACGTATTATGCCATGTATAGTCAAATACTGTGAGTCTAAAAGCTTGACCTTCTATTTTTGTTTTTAAATACAATGAGAAGTTTGAAGATTTTGCTGGTTTGTTAGGCCTGTCCAGCCATAGAGGAAACTTAAAAAAATGGAAATTAGTTCACTGAATGAGTACCTCAGTGACAAAAACATTTTTCAATCAATATTGCGTATTGTTCTTCTGTTCGAAACCATTAAGCGCGTTGCACTCTATAGACCGTAAAAGCCAACTGAATTTCATAATTTCTTTTGTAATTTAGATTCACACGCATAATTACATTTCACGTGTCATTTTTTTGTTTACATGGGCATTCCAGTGGCTCACGAAACGATTTTGTAAAGATTATGCTAAAATACGCACATGGCGATATAGTTAGAGGTAATAGGCTAAGAACGTGAAAATAACAAGCAAAAGAAGGATAACCTGAGCTGTACACAAAATGTTGTAGTGTCATAACTGCAACAGCACACTCGACGTCACTGAAGCCGTGGTTACGAATTTTGAAGGGTGTATTGCAGTCGCGAACGTATCCGTAAAGATTGAGAGACACTTCTGCGATCTGTGTGGCCCTACGTTAATTAATCCGAAAACAAACGAGTATAGCACAATGTACACTTTTGCAGGACGTTCGACTTGACCTCTGGTGAGATGTCTTCGCTCTCCGTCACGCTGTCCAAGAGGCCGAACCCTCAAGCCAACCGTTCAGCCTACGCCACGCATGGTCATCTTGTCGAGGAAGAAGCGTTCCACATTGGCAAGGTTGGTTATGGCGAAAAATCATAGCATATTCACGGAGTACATGATGAGGGAGGCGAAGCGCCTTTCCATGTATCTGTCCGTTCATCCGTCCATCCAGCCGTCCATTCATTCGTGCTTCTGTCCGTCCGTCTATCTGTGCACCCGTGCTTCAGTCCGTCCGTCCCTCTGTCAATCCGTGATTTCGCCCATCCGTGAGTCCGTCCGTTTGTGCATCCGCGCTTCTGTCCATCCGTGAGTCTTTCTGACCATTCGTTCGTTCAGACGCACGGACGGACGCTTCACCCAACTAATCGTCATTCAGTCCGTGGATATGCTGTTATTTTTTAACGTCATATATTTTCATCATGTAAGAGTTGCGCCATCTAGCGAACACTAAGAAATGAACGAGAGCTGGCTACATAATACATACAGTGGACAAATGATCCTCGGCGGAAAGAGCTTCGCCCCCTAAAATGTTTAACAATTTCGAGTGCTTCATACTCGACTAAGGGAGAGCCCCGAGTTTCGAAATATTTGTTAATGATTTAGAGCACTTAATACTGTACTGTGGGAGAACGTGAAGCTGCCCTGAGGGCATCACACTTCATGAGGCCGTGTCGACAGAAATTAAGCCGTTGCGTCTCTGCCAATGGTCTGCCGTTGTCAGGAAGGGGAGTTTGCACCCGAAGGCACCGCGTCCCAGCACATGTAACCGACCCCTCATCACCAAGTTACGTTCACCCGGTAGGGGTCCCGCCCCGTGTTGGAGGCCAGGTCCTTTTTTTTTTAACGGTTGCTCTGCGTGTGCAGACCGAACTATCTGTCACCTTATTTGTTCAACAATTATATAGCTTTACGTAGCCGCTGTAGACCAAAGAAGGACGAACGAACTTTAAGGAACTTCGCCCCCAAGATCACAGCATATCCACGGAGTGAATGATGAGTGGGGCGAAGCATCCGTTAGTCCATTCGTCCTTTCGTCGGTCCCTTCACTTCTCCTTCCGTAAGCCCATCCGTGCGTTGGTCCGTCCATGCACAGTCTGCGCGTCCATCCATTCATGTCTGTCTGCGCGTCCATCCATTCATGTCTGTCTGTCTGTCTGTCTGCGCGTCCATCCATTCATGTCTGTCTGTCTGTCTGTCTGCGCGTCCATCCATTCATGTCTGTCTGCGCGTCCATCCATTCATGTCTGTCTGTCTGTCTGTCTGTCTGTCTGTCTGTCTGTCTGTCTGTCTGTCTGCGCGTCCATCCATCCATGTCTGTCTGCGCGTCCATCCATCCATGTCTGTCTGTCTGTCTGTCTGTCTGTCTGTCTGTCTGTCTGTCTGTCTGTCTGTCTGTCTGTCTGTCTGTCTGTCTGTCTGTCTGTTCCGTTCTGTTCAGGGTGGTTTCCTAATTATATAGTTGTTTTGTTAATTAACGTCATGGAGGTTACACTCATCGATGGTGGCGGCGCTTAAATACGGCGCCAAACACAGCCGTTGTTGTGATTTCATAACAACTTTCGTAACAATAAAAATACAGACTGGGTGCGTTCAGCGTACCATCCGCCGCAGTGCAGTACGCACTGCAAGGTATAGAGTGACGAGACGCACTGGAGTAAGCAGAAAGAAACCGCGCTTTCTATGACAAGGATTTGAACTCGTAACTTGTGGTGGTCATCAGGACCAACAGAGCTCATTGCGAAGAAAAAGATTTACCTTTCGCCTTCGAGTGGTCACGTCAGGGTCCCTGTGAATTTATTTTAGTTTCATGACTGTGTTACTAGGCATTGCAATCTACACTTCACCGGGAAATACCAGTTAGTTAGCATTGACGCCCTCATTAGATCTATGAATAACCGTAGTTCTTGCGACGTTCCCAGGTCGACTACGAGATCTACCGCGACTACGTGAAACGCTTCGGGCCTATCATGTTCCTCCTGGTCCTTGTGAGCTACGGTGCTTGCCGGGCGTTTGACGTGAGTGAAACAATAATGCAGCAGCGATTATTATTCAAAATGAACCTCGATTACACTTTGGTAGCCTTGGTTAGCAGCCAATACTTCACTGCTGGCGTGATGAAGCATATCTAAGCAAAATCTCAGAGAAATCCACATCATTGCTTTGTGTGGTAACATAACCTCCAGATGAATCTACAAACCTGTAAGTGGCACTGTAGTCCAGAAAGCCGGCCAGTAGGTCATCAATTATTTCTCATCCCTAAAACATAATTGCTTACAGAGCCAAGGTCCTGTGAAATTTTCTTGCTGGCTATACCAGTGTGCATGCGTGAAAGGTACTGGGAGCTCTTCACAGCATCTCCACTAAACGTGACTACAGCTTCAATAAGCATTGATGAATAATTTATTCTGAGAGAATGCGTTGCTGTAGGCTAGTTTAGTCATATTATTGAACTGCAAAGCGTGCATTCGGTACTTGACATAGAAACGCACACCAATCTCATTCAAAGGCTGTATACACAAGTCGGCAATTAAAGATGAAGCTCACTCACTCACAAAAAAAGGGGGGGGGGGAGTCTTTAAGACGCCATCCTTTGCGCAAAGATCAAACGCTTAGTACATACTCTTTTATTGTAAGTTGTTAGTCGCGAAGCTTAAACAGAGTATTACTACAATGTAATTGATAAAGTTGAATGTGGCTTGCGTCAGTGAAGTTTTCGCATATATCGAGTTGAATTCTGTGTTAAGTGCAGCATGCTTCAAGCCACGAGCAATTATGTGCCTTGAATATTTTAGAACTTGCTATGTGCCGACAATGTGGTCTTAAGGGAATAAGCGTGTGTGCGTTTTGTAATAGATAGCCGGCTTTTTGAACCGCGACGTCGTTACGATAATCACATGTTCACGTGCCCGATGGCAATGTAAGCTTGTACCGCGCAATAATACTGCGTTCTCAAAAGCTCTATTGTGAAGCCTGCATGCAGGATGTGTGTATTTGTAAAGTACGAATCTTATTTTCAAAGCATACCCAAGCAGAGGAAGTTATTGTCATGGCATTTTAAAGCAAACATGCGGCTTGGTTGTAGCGACTGTTTGCTACACAAACGGTCTACTTTCAATTCGCACTAGAAGCCAAGATTTTTATTCATTTTATTTCCAGCATTCTCAATTTTCGATCACGGACAAGACGACGATTTTTCGCTCACAACCAATGTTGGTGACACCGACACCGACAATGGAAGTACTGCTAAACGAGCGATTTCAGCCTATCGGGTTAATATATTTTGTGCTTAAAGCTCACTAGGACTTGTTGACCAATAATTTCTTCAACCAGACTCACTCGGACTTATATTCACAATATACCACTCGCTCGAACTCACACTCACAGCTCCATCTCAGTGAGTCGACTGATGGGCGAGTTTGTTTAATGTGGCGGTGTGTGTTCTTCTTTGTCTCTTACCAAATATGCGCTATGCAGTTACGCATAGCTTGACAAAGATGAATGGAATGGTAAAAGCACTGCGAAGTCCGTGTACAGCACAGACCCCCGCCCCCCCGGCAATTCCATTACCCGTATTTGTTTCCTTCTTCCACGGGCACACACACACATTGCTACATCTGTTTTGATGTACAATGACTTTAGACATTACCCATCTGCTCGAGACCATGATTTCGGGGAACATCAATGTCGCGCCATCTCTGCACAGAAGCCACGCATCTCGCCTTGACTGAACGGGAAATAGTGTCAGAAAAAAATCCGAACAAGAGTAGTTGTCAACATGTACTTGCAATTCTGCGTATTTAAGACCAACGACAAACCTATCATAGTACCGTGAGCGAAACCACAGAGGCTCCTAAGTCATTTCAACTCTAACATTTATCGTGCTACGGGCTGCATTTTTATACATTAAAAAGTCCCAGAAGCCGATGTGTTCTGCGGCACACTGCCGAAATTTGACAACAATGTTCAGTGAAATGTCCTGGTGAATCGCTTGGCACATTGAACAAACCATGAGGCAGTTTTCATAACTCTGAAATAAGTAAAATTTTGTCAACAACTTAGTGCTGAATAACAGAGCTCGGTCAAATCAATCCACTCTGCTCATCGCATTTTTGAAAGTTAAGAATATCAATCATGCTGGCCGCTGTCAACTTCACCTTTAGGTTATCGCTGCCATTTTCGCCTTCACCTTCAGATAAAATGCTCAGTTTAGCAGCCAAAGCTTTTTCGTTCGCTGCACGGTTATTTGTGAACCACCAATGTGGTCTCTGGTTGCTGCAATGAGAGATGTCGCATGTGAATACTGTTCTCGTTGCCAGGTACTTTCGTCGGTATGGATCAGCAGCTGGAGTCGGGAAGTCATCCAGGCAGATGGAAGCACGTGGCATGCAGACAGCGGTTGGAGGTTGTCTATCTACGGACTGCTGGGAGTGTGCCAGGGTACGTCTATCATCTGAACTGTGAAAGCCATCTTGACGTTGTGGGATGTTGCAGTGCTGAGCAGCGTTTTACGATTCATTTCCCGAAGTTCAGAGCGGATTCACGGTAAAATTGGAGTATAACCTACGGTAAATTTGCGAAGCATTCTGGCTTTCTTAAAACTCTGAACAGCTCAAACTAATGGCAAGGACAAGCGCAAATCACGAAAACGTACACACTATTTATTTCTGACAAGGATCTCTTCCAAGAATGGAAAAAGTCCTTCTTTGCTATAATCTTCCATTGTTAGAATGGGTGGGGCGGGGCCTGGTGGGTAAGAGAAGCAGCAGCCCCCTAATCGTAGATTGGCGGGCACGAAATCCGCCCCTACATTTATCTGGTCGGAAACATACACCAGCATCGGGTTAAGGCCATGCTGATTTAGCGCGACGATGACTGTCATCTTTCTCTTGCATTTCAAAAGTCTTGACTTTGCACATTGATTCCTATAAAACTGTAGACCAAAGACCCTTTGTAAGAAGCAGTGCTGATTGTTATAAAGAAATTTATTAGGAGCCATTTTATTCTCGTTAAAGTGGAGTAAGTAAAACAAATTGAAAGAAATTCAATATTGTTATGTATATGTGATTTGGGTATGAGCCTCTGGGTAGCGGAGAACAGGCAGATTAGAGAAGAGGACGTTCGGCTAGCGAGATAGGCCTCCGGTGAAGTTCAAACGGCTGTGGCTCCGTGGTTCGTTGACGTACTGCACCCAGCCTCTCCACCACTCTGTTACGTTTAGTAATGTGTTTATTTTGCTGTGGCGTACTGGTAGACTTGAAGGGGTCGTGCACCGTAGGCCTATCTCACTAGCCGAACGTCCTCTCCTCTAATCTGCCTGTTCCCCCCTACCCAGAGGCTCATACCCAAATCACATATGCATAACAATATTTTTTACGATAATTGTGAGTAACTGATAGCACGATAGAGCAACACAAAGGACGCCGTCATAGTACACTCATTGGAATAGTGCAGGCGTAATGACTTCTTCTGTTAAGTCGTCTAAGCATGCAATAAATGATCACCTTAATTTTTTTCTGCCCTCATTTCAATGGTGTTGTTTGCGGCCAAATCGCAACGAGTAGGCCATACGTGCAGTAACAACGGGTGCACTTCATGCGTGCAGGATTGTCCATCCTCCTGGGAACGTTAGTCTTGGCTCTGTGCGCTCTCATAGCGTCGAGCAGCATTCACGACGAAGCTCTGAGCCGCCTGGTCCGAGCACCCATGTCATTCTTCGACACCACACCATTGGGGCGCATGCTGAATAGGTTTGTATGCAAATTGACTACAGAGGACGTTTCAAACATGCAAGTTCACATTGAGCTTACTGAATGGTCATCCTAGCCTGCAGCCAACGTCCTCAGCTCAGGTGGCCAGATATTTTGTAACTCGTGCACCTGAAACTTTCGATACAGGAAAAAATTAAATTACACGCAGTGCGCGATAGAACAAAGAGTGATAGTGGAAAAATTAAGAGAATGGAAGGCAGCAGAATGGGTCTTTGAAATGCTATCAAAGATGTGCTACCATCCATCGCGGCAGCGCAAGTACGAAAAGCAAGTACAGTTGATTGGAATCCTATCCGCGAAGCCTTGCTGTTCAGAAACAAAAAACGATGGTTCTCACAAGTATTGTTATTATTTCCTGATGCTAAAGCAAATTTTTCAGTGAATAGTGAACTGATTGCAAAATAAAGGTGATAGTACGAATTGCAGGAGCGACTGTCCCCTTCACGGAGTCTAAATTTCTGTCCCATGAAACGACGGGTATACGGTACACAGATCGTATTCAAGTGAGATATGAGCCTCTCACTTATACAGAAAGTCCATACAAGATTTACATGCACCATGGTGTTCTAGCATGAATTATCGTTTGATGAATCACAGCCACCCAAAGGTATCATATACATGAACATTACCATTCGAGGCAAAATACCATGGTGGTCTTCGAAAAAGTCAAAAGTGCTTGTGCCAAGCGATAAGGTATTGTCGCACCCGCCCTGTGGGCACGACTTACGTGCTTGCTATTTTCGGTCCCTTTTCAGTAATGATCAGACATGCATTAGCAAGAAAAACGTTCACATGGGCTCCTCAGCGAAAATTTTGCCCCTCCTCGAGGTCTTGGTTAAAACGAGAGCAACTAGAAATTACATTCTTTGACTGCGCGCCTTTACAGGGGAGCTTACAAAACAAACTGCCAGAAAACACCTAGGTGCAGCTTGGCGGCATCTGTGCCTACACGCCGTGGCGTTCGATGTAGCCAACACGTCTGGCGGTCGATTTCACGAACATGCCGCACAGTAGTCTTTCACTGTACTTTTTCATCGGCGTTGCTCCTGGCGGAGCTTGGCGATTAAATTCATGCACGGAGGCATTTAATAAATAGGATGCAGCTTTAGAATTCCCCAGGATTTCCTCCTCGAAAAAAGACTCACAAAAGCCTGTACAAATAGGCACGCACTCGGAACTGACGTCATCAATCGAACGGCCAGGGACTACGTCTTCGTAGAACACTGCCAAGTGCATAAGCATGAAAATTGCTTTACCCATGGATGTGATCGGCTGCCACATTTTAGTCAAACGGGCGAGGCTTCCCCGGACTTTTTGAATGCTATCAGACTGTATGTTTTTACAGGGACGAGAAGAGCTATCGCTATAAAGTCTGGCTACAGCTTCAAAAGAAAAAAAAACCTTCACACTTAGCCGCTGTGCGGCCACGTGTTCAACGCAGGTTCAGCAAGGATTTGGACCAGGCCGATATGCAGATAGGCATCGTCCTTGACTCTGTCTTAGAACAACTGAGTGACGTTCTGGGCATCCTGCTGCTCATCACGCTGTACATCCCGACCTTCCTGCCAGCCGTCGCACCATGTGCAGTTATTTACTTGATTGTGCAGGTACGATCCAGCTACTGCTTCATCCAAAGAAATACGGCATTTTGGGGTCATCTGGTACAGAAGCCAACGTATAGTTTTGCCGCTAACTTTATGTATACTTTAAGAAGAGGAAGCTGTTACGTTGGCTTCGGTGGCCTCATTTCGTACTGGCAACATCATAGAGATCCGTATGTTTAGACTTAGGTACACGGAAGAGAACCCCAGATTGTCCAAAGTTCCGGAGCCACGAAAGAGTAAGTAGATCTGAGATCAATGGGAGAAGCCTCGTTTCAGCAGTGAACCTAAATATGTTCATGATGGTAATGATGAAACTTGCTCAGAGTGTCATTGAAGCATCCCGTGCAGCATACTTGTTTCCTATTCATCGGTTCACGCAGAAGCTCTTCGTGCGCACCTTCCGGCAACTGCAGCGACTCGAGTCCGTCTCTCGGTCGCCAGTGTTCAACTGCATCGCCGAGACGGTGCCCGGCGTGCAGACCATCCGGGCTTACGCCGTGCAGCGCGGTTTCGTGGCCCTCTCGGACTCCCTGCTCGAGCGCTGGATCTCGTGCGCCTTCTATCTGATGGGCGCCGAGAGGTGGCTTACGGTGCGCCTCAACTTCCTCGGCACCGCCGTGTCGCTCGTGACGGCCTGCTTGTTGGTTCACGGACGGGACACCCTCGGACCGGCGACCATCGGCCTAACACTTCTATATGCCCTCAAGGTGAACACAAAAGTGTCCTTTGAACCGTCACATCTCTGTGATTGTGTAAGACATCAAACCATTTTCGTTCTATGCTGACGCGACACGTATAGGTGGCACTTACTAGCCATCAAAATAAAAAATGGCTATATAGTCTCTTGTAGCAAATAATTACGCAGAAATCCATATAAATTTTGAGCTATGTTTGCGCGACAAGGCTGTTGCATACGTAATATTTCTTATCAAAATCGTTCCTCTACACGACAGGGTTCAGAGAAACCGAGTTGTGTTTCCAATGGAAGACAGACTAAACCCACCGTAAAAAATACACACGTATCTACCCATTAAGAAGCGAAGTTAACATCATAGAACGGGAAAAATCTAATACGGAGCGTCTCGTGACAATCTGAAAGTCTAGCCATAAAGAATGCCACTCGGATCATGCTGCTGATTCTGCCAAGAGCATTGCAGCACTAGCAGTGAGCGGCGTCGGAGGAGGTGACCTATAGCAAACGCTTAAGCCACGCGCTGGCACGCTGCTACCCGTGCGCGTGGTCAGGCCTTAGCGGTAATGGTAACACGTACATTATTGCAAACTGTCCATTCTTTTAAGTGCGGAACACTTAGGCCACCGGGCTGTCGTATGCTGCCGACTTGGCGTAATGCAGGCGAAACCACCAATACCGTAGTCATTTCAGGGGCGAAGCTCCTTAGAGTGTCAGCTTGTCCACCGTTGTCGGTTGTAGCCACATCTAGTACTCGAAGTGCTCACTAGGTGGCGCTGCAGCACTCGCTGCCATCACCAGCTCGTTCACGCAGCAGCAACTCGAGTGCGGCGGGCACGAGTCCCGCTAGTATTCGGAGTGCGTACTAGATGGCGCTGCAGCGCTCACTTCCATCACCAGCTCGTTTACGAGGCAGCAACTAAAGAGCGGCGGGCGCGAGTTCATGGAGGATGTGCTCAACCGAGAACTGGCCTTCCCGCGGGGCGTACCTGACGCCACTCGAAATTGGCAAGAATGCCGCAAGGAACGCTTTGCCATGATTCGACAGCTGCGCAAGAGACACGCGTTCTTTACTCTTTCTGTCACGGAAGTACACTGGTATAGGCACACGCGCTCTTTACTCTTCCTGTCACGGAAGTACACTGGTATAGGCTCCTCGAAACTGTGGAACGGCTGCGAGTATTGACGGTTCACGGATTTACCTCCGTAGCTTCACCCACTCATCATCATTCACTCCGTGAATATCCATAGTATTCCAGTTAGCTGAGAGAGCTTATACCCAATGCAATTTTCACGTGCCTATTCCATAATAATTGTTTCTCAAGTACAACCACTAGACATATAAAAGTAGACATAATGGGAAGAAAATGGTTCTTGTATATAGCAGTGTGTCAATCTTTAAGCTTCAAAATGTACGGCCTGTATGTTGTCTCTGTAAATTTGTTCTCTTAACCTCTTGTTTGCACGGGCTCTCAGGTGACCGACGCGCTGAACTACCTCGTACGCTCCACGGCTGACCTGGAGAATTCGCTGATCGCCGTGGAGCGTCTCCACGAGTACACCAGGACACCGACCGAGGTTAGTGAATACACGTAGAGGTGATCTCGTAATGACTGGTAATCAGTGTTGGCATCATATAATATGGTATCAGTGTCGATGTCATATCAGTGTCGGTATCAGTTTCACCATAATTTTTATGGCATTTCTTTCTAACAAAAAAAAAAACCTGATCATGCAGCACTCATTCGCGAAAAGATGAAGGCGTTGCGAAGAAAAGCAAACAACGAGCGTTATATGGGTGACGACAGTAAAAGCAAACAACGAGCGTTATTTGGGGGACGTCAGTATTTCCCATAATTAGTGGCATACCGAGTGGCTTTGCCGAATCTAATATTAATTGCTGGTAACACTTTTGGTATTAGTCCCCGAAAAAATGTGTTGTTTAGGTCATCGTTGTTAATGCCAACACTGCGAACATAAGATAGCAAATGTCCTGGTGACCACTCTAATTGAATGTCAAGCGGGTTGAATTCGCAGTCATAATGGCCACATTTCATTGAAGGTGCAGTCTAACAGCCTCACAATTGATTTAGGATCACGTTAAAGAATCCAGGTCATCAATATTGATGAAAAATTTCACACGACAGCGTCGTGTAAATATATTAACCTTAAAATTTATGACAAGCTTACACTTGAATTGCTTGTGTAGCAATGACGGCCTGCAGTATTTGTTTTTTTTTTCACTCAGAAACATAGCCAGTCTCAATTTTACCATAGAGCACTCAACATAAAAAAATTAGGATTTTGCTTTCGAATGCTTGCGCAGTAACTTTGGTTTGCATTATTTTTTTTTTTCAGAAAACACAGCCACCATCATTATCACCAGATTTCCCCCGCTAAACGAAAAATAATTTACGATTGGGTTTAGGTAACCGGTGGTGCCGTTTGCCATATTACGTAACCAGGATCACTTACTATAACTTGGAAGTCACCGGGTTTGCGGTGTGAAACTTGCGCAGGCGCCATGGCGCGTGAGCCCACCGCCGAGTCCCGACTGGCCGCAGCAGGGTGCCGTCCAGTTCGTGGACTTTAGCACTCGCTACCGGCCGGACCTGGATCTAGTCCTGCGCAAAATCAATCTCGTAATGCGCCCTTCGGAAAAGGTTTGTGTGCTCGGCAAAGACGTGAACAAAAATTTTTGTTTCTCTTGTGAGAGGTTTCAATAACGCTATAAACCTCTTAAAATGCAAATAAAAAACACGACCGTGTATTCTCGGCTTTCATTTCCCGTCTTTTCGGTTCACCTCGTGATGTTAGCAGTGTGCGCATGTAACTTCATCAGGAAATAAGCTCTCGATTCGCCCAGGTATGAGGGATGTTGGGAATTTTCTCCCACACTGCTTTTTCGTGCAGTCACACTCCCATTCGACGTCGTCTCCTTTAGCTATATGAGGCGATCAGCTGATGGCACGTAGTTTTGCGTGCTTTTTACTGGGGCAGGCGGGAAAGACGGCATGTTGCACAAAATAGAGCATTATTGATAACATCGAAGTTTAGTGGAGACACTTTGTAAACGTGTTTTATGTATGAATAAGAGATGAGGTGCACATAGCGACAGTAGGAAAAGTGGTGAACGCGAGAAGTAAACTCCTCTATCGTAAATTAACTCGAAATGGTGTGTGAGCGCCTTAGGTGATTCTGTATTGGCACTCTGATTGACGTAATTTGGACGAGATATTGCCAGACATTGCAGGCCCTTGCGAGTCCCGAAAACTAACGAGGTTTCGAAAGACCCAATCTCGAAAAACCCCGCATTCTTATTCACAACGTTCTCGCTGCATATGACGTCATCGTTCCACGTTGTTGTGATGACGGCACAGGTTCTCAAGCTATGACTTCTAATTGTGGCATCACTACATGAAATCACAAGATGGCGTCATCATTTGTCATTAGGCACTCATAGTTGGCCGATTTGGTGGAGTGGCATAAGGACAGCGTGACAAAGAAGACGAAAATACTATTTAACCACACGAACACAAGCGACGGCTCACAACTGAAGTTTATTCTAGATCACCGAACATATGTATATACTCACGTAGCCACACAAAGAAAACCAAAAAGCAGCAGAACCGTAAATTACAAACAAGTCATTCACTAAGGTCGAAGATTTCTTTTTTGCCCGTGATAATCTGCGATTTCAGGTAAACTTCACTTCTTAGGCGGGCGCATGTTCGTGTGGTTAGTCTTTCCGTCGTCTTTTTCGCTCTATTCTATACCTAGCATCATTTGACATCATAGATCGGCAATTCAAAACCACGTGATGTGCCGAAAGCTTTCGTATTAAGACAAGGAGGCTGAGAGGGACGAAGTTGAAGCTTCAATATCATAGACTGATAGGCCATAGAAGTGGGCAGACAGCTTTCTCCTTGACGCGTGTTGCATAAGAAACCGGTGTAATTCCACCAATTTCCACCAATCGTCTCCTCATTCGTAATTTCATGACACGGCTGAATTACATAAACGCATGACGATCGTTTTGTCAAGGCGTTTTGCCAATCTTCGACCTCTTGCAGTGAAGCACATCGTCCGAGACAAGGCGGAATGAGCAAGCGACCACAGAAAAACACTGTAGAAGAAAAATTCACACCTAATACACCCCATAAGTGCGCCAATAAAGAGTTTATATTCTAAGGAATTAATTTTGTGACATGGTTCACTTACAACAATGCAGGATGGTCGTAGCTATCAAACCACTTTGCTAAACTGCGTTCGATTGCAGAGAAGAGCATCGCGTTTTATTCAGATCTGCATAACTTTTCCTTATGTTGGTTCGCGTCACCAGACAACAATCGTATTTTGGAAGGACTATGATACAGAAAAAGTTGGCAGTGAAGTCGTGTTTCTAATAAGTCTAATGAACTTACTTGGAAAATAACTAATTACTACTGACCAAGTCAAGCCTATTTTAGCCTCGGTAAGTCTAGTTAATAAATAGGACTAAACGTAAGTTGCTTGAATGAAACCCACCTGAGATGTACGAGAATTTTTCGCCCTAACAACGCTGGTTATGTTTAATTGAAATAATAAGGCCTAATTAAGCTAATTGAAAGCAAGCTACGCTATGAGCAGCTAGGAGACACCAACTTCACAGTGACTGGTCATTGCGCATCTTGTGCAAACTTCTCCATTGGTTTTGTGTAATCCCCCTACCAGGTTGGTATAGTGGGCCGCACAGGTTCGGGCAAGTCGTCCCTGACGCTGTCCATGTTCCGCATCCTGGAACCGGCCGAGGGGGACATCATTATCGACGGCGTGGCCATATCGCGCATCGGGTTGCATGACCTGCGATCCAAGATAACGATCATCCCGCAGGTACTGACCAGAAGTGAAAAGTGAAGCATATGCATATTCTTTTCTGTGCAAACCAAACGAGCGCAACAGATCACACGGCATGTTTTTCTTCAACATAACGATGTGAAGCTAGCTAGTTGAAAAGTAGCGGGAAACACGGAGGAAGCATTTTGTAAATTTTTGTCGAGAGGAAACAAAAATGAAGTTAAAATAGACGATTTTTAACAAAAATGGAAACTCACTTAGAGTAATTTTAAACCCTGAATTCTCGCATTCGGTGGCGGTTGTGAAATGACTGTTTCGCATGCTTTTCGACATCATTTACTCTACTTCAAAGTCAAGCATAACAATTCTTACCATGTTATGACTTAATGTCCAGTTAAATAATCGTTGTTTATCATTGGCGCGAATACCGAGTGAACTCTTGTCTTTCCTTCAAGTCCTTCCACCTCACTACCAAATTACTTCCTGCTTTGCGAATATTCACAAGATGTCTTTTAAACATATAAATTTCTGGTGGCGATTTAGCTTAGGACATAACAGAAATGTCGGAGTGTTATTAGGCGTGAGATTAAGGCCAAATATGTGTTAGGATAGCTAACAAATATTCATTGAGTTAATTACAAAATGTGAGCAGCTGGGATTGTGGTGGCACCAGACGGAACAGGTCTCAACTACGCTTCTCTTTGTATATGGCATCTGAGATATGTTTTGGCAGCGTGCGAAACATGAAGTTTACCCAAGGAAGGCACCAATACGAATGAACACCGACATATGGGTGCCACTACCAGACACTACCAGACCAGTTTTAGGATCCAGTCCCGATTTTATAGGCGAGGCTCCTGAAGGTCGATGCTTGTCCGTTGTCCAGCGTCGGCGTTGTGCGCCGTACCTACCGCTGACGACGACGACGATGATGATGCTTATGACGATGAACAAGCGCATACCAGACCCCACATTCTCTTTCAGCCATCACGGCAGAGCACATATTAGGTACCCATTGTACGCCATGACGATCACGGTGGCGCTGATGACGATGATGATCAAGGACTACGATGGGCTTGTGCAGTATATGGCGTCTCAATATTCTGTACGTTGCATTTCGTATGACTGGAAACAACCAACAGCCACAAGAGGAACATGCCTAGGCCTCGCTTTTGCCGACTTCCGGCTCTATCCAATACCACAAAGCAGTAATAATGAAGGCAAAGCGAAATCCACAGCTCAACCCAACCAGTTATGACCAATAAACATTGTATTTATTTGTACACTGCTTCGCCCACTCATCACCATTACTCACTTCATGAATATAGCATGCTTTTTTGTGTGATTCACAGTTGTCAATATTTTCTTGGCACCGTTAAGAACATTGTACCGATACACAAAGTTGGCTGCGATTGCTTTAGCTCAACCACTGTTGTTGTAACATGTAGCTTGTACAGAAGAGCAGTACAGTACGAGATAAAGCACTTTTATTAAATAGATTTGTCCTCGATTTTCGGGACATGTCGTAACTGTTCCAAGCAATGCATCGAATTCAAATCTCACGTTCTGAGCAGGCTTGTTCTCCACTTACGAGAGAAAACGGTGAAATAGCGCCGTAACTTTCTTATCAATTGCATATGTGCGGGTAACTTTTTTTTTATTTTTGTCTCCGATTCCCTTAGGAGCCGGTCTTGTTCTGCGGGTCACTACGCCTTAACCTGGACCCCAAAGGTGAGCGCACGGATGAACAAGTGTGGGCAGCCCTGGACAAGGCTCACCTCAAGGACTTCTTCAAGAAGAAGGCTGAGAAACTGGACTTCTTGGTCGAGGAAGAAGGGAAGAACCTGAGGTAAGAAGCAGGCGTTGGATGCTTATCAATAAAAGACCTTCTTCCCGAGATTTTAGCTGAAAGCCTCGAAAAGTTGTAGTAGAGAACTGAACTACAACGCAGCGTGGGACGGAGCGAAAAGTCATGGGTATTGAGTAACGATATAAAGAGACAGAGAAAATACAGAGCTGATTAGAAAAAAAACTGGTAGCTGCTAATATAGTCAAGATGAAAAAAAAAGTTAGCCTTGCTTCTTGCGCGAAGCAATCCATACAATAACGACTAATTGGAAGGATATACAAAACAATTAAGGCCGGAAGCCCACTCTTTCAAGATCCGACGTCACGTAGCTCTACGAAGCGCCAGCGTGAAAGAGTAGGGCTGAAACAGGACGCGAAGGGGTTTTCCTGATTTTTGTCGCCTCCACGAGACGTGTCAAGAGCCCAACGCGTATGAGTGGGAACTGCGCCCTTTTAAACAAACTGCTGCTCGAGCAACTCCGCCCGCAACACTCGGCAACTCTTCACGCACCTTCGCTCGATGGAACCATCCTTCGTTCTCGCATATAACATACGACGAGCAAGCCATTATTATTTGCACTTGTCAAATCACGACAATGGCAAAAACGCGTCTTGATTGTGTATATAATCACAATCACAAGCAAAATGGCGATTTGTTGGTCGCGTAATGCGTGGGCCAAATGACCGGTTGTCAGCAGCGGCAACGGTATGGAAACGAAGGAATTGGAAACGCAGCAGATGGCTTCATGTATTAAGGGCAGAACGTATTACAACGTACTCAGCTTCAGCGTTGCTATGAGTTTTACCTAGATTCGCGTTTTCACTCACGCCTACGTACACGTGATTCAAAGCAGTATTGTTCATACACTATTTCGAGGCGCGAGTTCCGTAGAATGGTGAGTTGACCACCCCACTACCAAGACTTTTGGGGAGGTTTTAGAAAAAAACATCGTCACTCTTTCAAAAAAAAATGTCTTTACTCGTTTGCAATCACTCATAACTCTTATTCCAAGGTACTATACCAAATGGCGCCAAGAAGATTACCGATTACGTGAGATTTCGATGATTTAGGACCATTGAAACTACGGTCAAACAAGCTTATTCTAGGCTAACACACTCGTGTCAACTCATTCGGACTCCCTTATAGTCTCAGATACAGCCATGAGTCTGAGCGAGTCTGGGTAAGTAATATTTTGGCGAGCGTGAGTTTAGGTAAATACGCTTGCAAAAAAATTTCGTGAGCTTGTGTTCGAGGGAGCCCAGTGCACAAAATATATTTAATGCGTGAGTCTGAGTGAGCTGCGTAGTTTTTGCCGATTTCTGTGGGACGAAGTTAAGCAATCTGCGCCCATAAAATGAAAAGAGCTCACATGTGAAACCCGAAATATTATTGCGTAAAACCACATAGAATAGTTTGTTATAAACTTGCAGTAAGGCAGAATTTATTATAAGCGCTTCATGCGTGGTGTCTGCGAGATCAAGCCTTGTATTGTCATCACGTTTGTAAAAAAATATCTAGAGTTTAGCTTGAGATAAGTGTTTACCTCTCAACAAATACTGTTTCTTGTTTCTTCAGCGCGCTGCACTTATCGCAGCTTCCTCCGCCTGTTAAAGCTAAGACAGTCGTGTGTGTTGTTATACAGCATTGGTCAGCACCAGCTTATCTGCTTGGCTCGTGCCCTGCTGCGTAACACCAAGCTGCTGGTGCTAGACGAAGCCACGGCTTCGGTGGACCCGGATACGGATGTCCTCATCCAACAGACCATCCGCCGTGACTTTGCCAACTGCACCGTTCTCACCGTGGCCCATCGGCTACAGACGATCCTGGACGCCGACAGGCAAGCTGACACCTTTCTGCCCTCATAAGCACTCGCTTCCCTTTGAATAAAAATATCGATTCTAGTATCAAGAGTGTTTATTGCGTGAATCTAAGCAAGAAGAGAAAGAAAAAGAAAATCCCCTGTTTATAGTATGTAATTTCTTACAATTTGTCATACTATTGCTATTACTTTGCGTCTAATTCAGGAGAAGTTCCACTTTTTTTTCCCCCAGTTGGCTGTTCTACTTGAGTCGCATTCAACCAAATGAAACAGGAAATGAGTTAAAATGTCAAACTTTGTTCATAATTTCAAGTCTCACGCACTCTAATTATGAACCGCAGTTGCTCGAAGTAAGTTTGCATACCCATAATGAAGTCGACATTTGGCGTAGGTCTCTGGCACAATTGCATGGAAGATTAACGGGGACCCTGCTTTAGATACGACTGTGTTAGAAAATATTTTAATGCAACTTTCACAGCTTTGTGTGTCCTATATCCTGAGTAACTGTCGTAGCTTATGCATGTTTGATGTCCCAACTTGAAATATGCAGTCATTTTTACACCAGAGCAGTGACAGTCGACGTCCGCCACCTTTTTCGTCCTTAGCCAGCATGCCTTCAATGACTATATCTTGTGCAGATGATTAAAAACAGTAGCTGGTACTTCCTAACATTAAATGGTGTTTGCTTTTCATGTGTACCTTTGCTTGTTACGTTTAGTGAACCAGAGCAGCAAATAGTGTGGCTTCCCCGATTTCTGAGGCTCGTTCGTTCTATGGAGTATTTACAGCAAAGCTGTAACGTACGAGCAGTAAAAACAATGGGAGGTGAAAGAACGACTACACAGAGTGAAAAAGAGAGAGAAAGGGAAGAAGAGCAGAAGTTGGAAGGACAGAGAAACAGAGATAAAGAGAATAAAGCGAAGTCTGAGTCTATGAAGCATTCCTACCACCCGTGCTTATTTAGCTGCCGTATTTTTTTTATATGCGGACTCTAATTTAGCTTTTATACGTCACTCCTGAATACTAAACAGAGAGACAGCAAGCGAAGATATATATATATATATATATATTTATATATATACCCGACCTTGGCACGATGTAGTGCAACCTGTTCTAGTTCTTTTTCTTTCTAATACAGCTTAGCTTAAATTTTTTAATATCGAGCATAACACTGACATCATTCGGAGAAATATTCCAAAACTCGGAGAGTTGCCAAGAAAATCGGCATCAAATCTCCGCTGGTTATTAGCACTTGGTGAGCGCGTATGTAGAGAAGCCTCACACGCACTTTTGACCCACGTGCTCATCACATGCAGTGCACGCTTTCTACTGCCATCGTGGCCTACCGTTGCGCAGAATAACGCCCTCATGCCTTGAGCGAGTTCGTCCAATCGAGCGCTCACGCATCTTGCAGTGATTATTATCAGCAACATGTTACACACAATACGAGCATATCGATCGTGCATGTTTTCTTTTGATATCAGCATTGAATATGTTTCAGTACCATTTTTACGGTTGCCTAGGCGTGATGTTATACATAAAGTCAAAACGAAGCACATCACCCAGGTGTCTAATATTTCATGGACTTGCGCTGCTGACGCTTTCTCCGTACTTTCACCGACAGAGCGTGGGCGCGCGCAATATCTTAGTGTCAGCCTTCGGTTTATACATGGTGTGCGGCCCTGCAAAGTTTGTATTGAAGTAATATGCAGCGCAAAGGTCACTTCGCTAGCTGCTGCGGCAGCGTTTATCGAAGCAACCGCTAGGTTTACTTCGACGAACACTTCAACTTGATGCTATCGCATTGCGTATGCTGCTTGGCTATATGGCATTGAAATTGCGACTTTGTTTATTTCGAAACGTCCTACGCATTCGCATCGGGGCGAAAGGCTGAAGACACGAATGCCGACTTCTAACAGCACACCGGGAACGAAGCTACGATGTATTTTCAACTTATCGTCTATGTTTAGTCCAAAATTGCTGCAGCTGCAAAACGAACACTGCTCGGTAATACTAATTACGAACTAGCTCAATACACACTTCAGCCCAGCCAATTGTCCAGCGCAAAAGCGCAATTATTTCTAATTTACTTGTTCCGTCTTGTGTTGAAGCACAAGAGGTGTTTGGAGGCTCGCCGTAAATATGGCGAATTTTCAGTTTTTTACATAGAAAAACTGACAATCATTCGTTTCTAATACATGCCCATAACGTTGTTTATATGAGTTTCCCTGCGTAAAAACTACTTAGTTCAAAAACTAGCTCAAATCGCTGTCTGAAACCGCACACCACCACGTACTTTTTTGTAAACCATGCAACATTTTTTTAATATAATTATAAGATTTTTCTCAATTAAATGTGCTAAAAAAAGATCTGCACTATTTTACTTTTGATAATCTTTTCTTGACAATGTTGTATTTCATAAAAAAATAATTACTTATGTGCGAAAAACCTTTGCTAGATGTTCAATTGGCTTCATCAGAAATTCCAACACAGCCCTTGCAATTTTTGTTATCGCTGTGGTAATATTTCTGAAGAAGAGTTTCTGATGACCACGCTCGGCTTCGCTATCGGAAAAGTGCCACAAAAATATTTGTGGATCATGCCGTCTGCAGGATTGTCGTCATGAGCTCTGGCGAGATAAAAGAGGTAGGCGCACCCGGAGACCTCATGAGGAATCGCAAGTCGGCATTCTTCGCCTTGACTCGTGAAGCCGGCCTGGGAAGTGAAGAGCGCAGCTCTGGCTTCGAACACAAAACATCCAAGCACTCTCTGACCGGACATTAAAAGCAACATGTATTGCGTTTGTTTCTTTAGTTCCAGCACTTCATGAAGGCTTACTTGTAATGTTTCCAACAGCTTCTGTACGACGGTGACTTGTGGGCACCTTGATCTAGACCACTGTTGGTTAAAAAATACCATCAGCTCATTGATAAAAACATGACTGTTTTCAATAATAAAAGCATGACCTCCTCTGTTTTCGTGTTCTCAATAATTAAGACATAACGTCCTCTATGGGGATGCATATATCTTTAGAAAGGAACAAATTGTTAATATTTAGAACCTTGCAAGTCTAGAAGGCAGGCGCGCTTCTTTATAGAAAGTATTTGCAAGAAATTGAGGCAGCCCAAGACATAACCGTAATACTTCGCGTGCTAGAAGCACCAATGGTCTAAACTTGAAGGTGAGTGCTCCAGAAAACAAAACGCAACCAAACTCTAATATCGGGCGAATATACGCTCGTACGCGTCATATATCATGACCAGATTACTACGTAGACCAGATTGACTACTACTGAGTATATGAAGCATCACTACCACCCGTGCTCCTTTAGCTGCCTTAATTTTTTTAATATGCGGACTCTAATTTAGATTTTGGTATGTCACTCCTGAATACTTAGCAGATTCCTACTGCGAAACGATGTCATGCCTGTAAAGTACCGATATCTGTACCGGAACGCTTGGCGGGCCCAGTACGAATACGCTTTTCCTGACGGTTAATGGTAGGTTAGTGTCATCCAACCACGTGTACGCAGCGTTCACATGAAACTGTACATTCTGATACAGTGAATGTATATCTGCAGCTGCAGAGAAAAATGCGATGTCTGCAGCGTACACACACACCTGTCGTCATGTTGTACAGGAATCGTGCTCAGTAAAGTATTAAATGAAAAGTGGGGACAATACCGAAGTTTGGAAAAGACCTCTAGTTTGTTTATAATTAAAAAAAACCATATTAACCGCAGTAAAATTTTGTCTTTTAAAGAGGAGCAAATCCATGCAACGAAGCAATTTCTTAAAACCTACGTGCGCAAGCGAATTTATTATGTTAATGTTTTTCCACACTATCATAAGCTTTAGTCTCTTGAGTGGTATGCTGCTTAACTTTCACGTTTTACTGTATACATGTGTCACTTTCGCCTTAACATCGAAAGACGTTAGCGCTCGTTTGGACGTTCTATCCTTTCTGTTTTTATGATATAAGTAACTTTTATTCATTTAGAGTTCTTCTCTTCTAATTAGTGAAATTTGAACTTTGATTCAGTAGATTCTCTTCAAACTAATGGTCTGCCAATGCCCCAGTGTGAGTATGAGCCGCAGTTTTTGGGGTCGACCCTACAGCTCACTCTTCGACCGTGTCGTTGGCACCGCCTTTCTCATCATGTTATCAGTGAACCACTTGGATTGTCGACCCCTTCACCAAAGCCCAGGCTCGACACTGCAGTGACCTTGTTTCGTCGACGCCGCCTCGCCTCTTCCGCCAGCTTTCTGGTCTCGGGAGCTCCGAAAATAGTTTGACCCGCTTCGGTTGGGCTCGTACCCGCCGTCGCTTTGAAAGACGCGATCTGGGGCGCGGCCCTACAGGCATCTCGATTGAGTACCATTCTACGAGGCGGATGCTGAGGGATAAATGGGCCGCGTGTATGATTTGAAAAAGCTACCCGTGTCCGAAACGGAAGTGACGACATCCGAGACAACCTCAAAGTAACGCGGTCCCTTGTGCATTTCATGCTTGCTTCTCGCTTAATTCTTGGTTCTTGCCAACTACGGAAGACAGGCCATGAAAGTCGCGGCACATCTAAAAGGAAAGTTTTGAATTGAGACTAAGGATGAAGAATGAAACGGTCGCCTGTGGTATGGACAAAATTGACGAACTCTTTTTTGTAGCAAGAAAGAATACAGTAATATGGAAAACAACCTAGCAGGGAAAGGTATTTTGAAGCGCGAAATTCTGAGTGGAACAGAATATTGATAAGGAATTCTTGTATCGCCAAGAAATTTCTACTTGGCTAGATAGATGTTTAAGGCCACACGAAGGCAGAAGCTACTTTTTTTTTGTAAAATTTGCATATGGCTAGACAGATGTTGCCTAAGGCCATACGAAGGTAGAATGTGTTTTTTTTTCTCAGTTGATTGTATTTGTCCCGTCTGTTAACTCTCTCAACCCAACTTGGTTTTGTATTCCCTCAGAGATCTAAGGCATCAAAAGCTTCCGGAACCTCGCGCGGCTAAGCAGTGCCTCCATATCGGCTCACCTTTCACCACGCGAAGGTGTCATTTGATAGCATGTCGTAACATTAGGTAACATCGTAGTGACACCACGATCACGTCCCTAAATTTAGTATCGTAAGGGTGAAGTCAGCATAGTGAAATGATTATGTGCATCATTAGCGTTGGAGCCAATGGTGGCGACGCTATCGTTCATTTTTCGCCTGGGATAACACATTCAAGAGTTTCGGCTTGGGGATCTCGGATCTTAAGCTGAGCATCTATACCATCTTGAGGCATGCTGCAGCACAAAGGTAGTTGACAGTGTATAGTGCACGCAAAGCTTTGAGTTTGTGTTTGCCGCAACAGCGCATACATCGTACTCTAACCCTTTGCGGGCTTCCACTAAGTGACGAAAATAGCGGGAGACCGCAACGAACGCCAACTCCCTAGTAATTGAGCAAATAGCACTCGGTAATGAATATTTCAATGACAGTAAAGACTCTACAGATGTCTGCGTTGTTGGTGAGGCTAGCCATCGATTGCCTTAGCACCACCGCACTGTCATTTGGCGCCGGAATTTGACCTATGAGAAATATTGCTTGTTTTAATGCTGCGCCTGTTCACAATAGTCCGCGAAAATTCATTGGTGGTGACAGAAGCGGTTGCTTCCGTCACCGCCATTGGGAGTAAGCACCTTACAACGCGCCTTCACGCAAAGTGTTCATTTAACAATTTTTTTTTACCCAACCCCCCTCGAGATCCATAATACGGTGATGATCACAACGATTACTTCATCATCATTTCTAACGAGAACTTTAAGAAAATGAAGTGAAAATGAATCCCGAGTACCTCACTACGAGTACCTACCTGGAGCTAGCCTTCTCGCCAAATTGAAGCCTTGCATTGGAGCATTGCAATTATGCCGTTTTTTATGCCTGAATAAAAAGCCATTTTGAGGTTGACTGATTCGGAGATGCATCAAAAGAAGATCAAAGCGTGAATACTCAGTATCCTTCAGTGCTTGGAAGCATTCACTCCTGCCGCATTTTCTATGTTAAGACGCGGAAACGTACAGCATGAAACGGGTGGGAAGGGGTGATATTTGGACGTCTCATATAACATGGCTTACAACTCAAACCATCTAGAGTATGCATTCTCCATTGGTAATGCACACGGGATTTACATTCGCCCATGTCGACACAGGCATCGCGTCTTATTTGCTTGCTGCTCCTTGAAGACAGATATGGAAATCAATGGCGGGAGTAAAGCACCATATAACGTAATCTATTAAGCACTCACACATTCCTTGTCAGCCTTCTTGCTCTTGTAAAACCTAAGAGCGAACATTCTACGCACTAGGTACTCGTTTCATGTTGAGGAAAATAGAAGTGGATGGCGCGCCAGAATGTTACCAATGACCAACCACGCCATTAGTTCGTGATTTACTTGTGAGGGAATAATTAGGCGTTGTCAAATAACGTGAGCGTGGGCGGGAAAGAGCTCATATATATTGGTCTCTGTTGTGACATCTTCTTGAACGTATTCAAGTAACTAAAAATATATTAAATAATATATTATAATATTATAATATATTATAAAATAATACTATAGTACTTTAATACTATAATGATCGCGTGCTCGTAACACAACGGATGGATGTCGTAATGAAAAGCCGCAAACACGTGATAGTTCCCATTTTGTGCGTACCATTTCCCCCGCGCCGTATGCTGGTACCTAACATTTACCGTGTCGCATCAAAATCATTCTTTTTCATCAAGCATGTTCGCCTTGTCATCGGGAACTTGTTTTCTTGTCTGAACTTGATCCGGTTCTGCGAAGACGAAATGCTCAAGATACATTGGAGAAGTATCGCGTCACTATGAATGTGACGGTAGTATTCCGTAAGAGCTCGAAATGAAAATCTTCCTTTCCCGAGGACCCCCGCGAACTTCGAACTCGTGCTTCAGAAAATAAGCTAGTAGCAAACATTCGCAATACCAGCTTGAAACTCCAGGTACCATAGAAGTGTGGCAGCTTGGGCTAGCTGGTATGGCATGACGATAGTTATAGCGCGAGAACAAAGCGACGATACAGAGACAAGAAGGACATGTGTTCTTCGTGTCCTTCTTGTCTCTGTGTCGTCGTTTTGTTCTCGTGCTATAACTATGGTCCAGGTACCAGTTTCCAAAAAAAAATTGCACCTGCTTCGTAGTAGAGGGTAACGAAAAACGCGAGGGCATGAGGACAAGAGCAAGGACGCGAATAATGCCCCTTTCTGTAACGCGACCTTTCTCCTCCTCACCATCATACGACTATATATCATCCTTTGACGGGAGGTACCAACAGGCGCCAATTCACTGCGTTAGTGGCTAGTAAGAGGTTGCGGACCTGAATTTTAATGTTGCACCGTAATTGCAAAGGACAGCAGTGAAACAACCGTATAATAATTCAAGCTCACAGAATCTCATGTCTTAAAGAGAAATGCATCAGCATCTTTGTCGTTTTCAACCAACGAAATTGCATATATTGGTAAGACACATGTACGTCAGCATCATGTTTGTTTAGGTTAACACCGTTGGCATAAATAAGGTGTAAGTAATAAACTGTTGTTCGCGCTTCGTCTTTTTATCTGTGTTCCTTTCTGTGGTTTCCGTCTCTTGTCCGCATCAGTCCCCATCAAGATGGAACAACAAGCCCAAGTTGAAACCCTTCTGAAAACTTTCGCCAGTCGGGTTGCTGACCACTCCTAAATCCAAACCTCGTGTTATGTTCGAAAGTGAAGCGTACACAGATGGATAATCTTCGAGAAGGCTGCTATCTTCAGCGCGAGTCGATCATGACGAGGCTGCCAGGGGGCAGCACGTAGACGGTACCCGGCGGCTGCCTGCCCAGGTGCAGCACTGGCGCGTCGTCGGGGGCCATCACGAGACGTGGCTCGTCCCTGTAGGCACTCTTTTTGTTCGGCAAGCTGTACACAGGCTCCCTGCGTAGTCACAGCCAGCATTGGCAAGTTAGTCCAACAACTACAAAATGATGAAACATGCTTTGTATTGCAACAAAGGTGCATATGACTATAGCAGCTGGAAAATTACGTGGTGCGTGGGTGCCCAGTAACTAAAATGAAGAAGGAATGCATATGCTACCTCGAAGGATGTAGTATAATTTCAGGTTTTGTCAGCGTATACAGCTAGAAGTGAAAGACGCCATAGCATGAATCACTAGCTGTAAAGTCTTGCAATATACTCCAAGTTAAGCCACGAAGTGGCAAGCTTGAAGGACACGTCTCTTAAATGTGGTGACAAAGAAGTAAACAAAAATGGCAGCATATATCCACGGGGTGAATGATGGAGAGTGGGGTGAAGCATCCGTCCGTCCATTCGTTCTTGCTTCCGTCCATCCATGCGTCCGTCTGTGTGACCGTCCATGCGTCCATCCACCCGTCCGTACGTGCGTCTGCTCGTGCGTCCGCACGTCCATCCGCGTGTCCGTCCCTACGTTCGTCAATGCATCCGCCCCTGGGTCCATCCATGCGTCCATCCATCCGTGCAGCCATCCATGCATCCGTCCATGCATTTGTCTGTGTGTCCATTCTTCCACCTATTCAACACTCCAAGTACCACCATCTCGCATCTTTTCATCATAAATTCTGCATATAGAAGCACCGCCATCCCGCAAACATCCGCTGGATGTCTATCCAGAGGACTAAACGTTTAGTCCATCTAGAGTACTAAACGAGAGGTGGCACATGCACACTTTTTCACGGCTTGCGCTTCGTGTCTACTTCCCACCTTTAACCACCTCAAGTCCACGGTATATACTGGTTCACTGTATTCATGGCACTGTGGCCGAACGTTCGCTAAACCTTTCTAAGACCAAGGAGGTTACGCCCAGCGAGTATAACGTAGCAACCCTTTCTTGTCAAATAACGCTCAATGGACATGCCAATGGCTGCTAATGAGGAATGAGACACATGAGAATCCGGCTTTTAGTTAACGCGCACGCTGCGAATTTTTTATTGTTCAACAACGCACAGGAGAAATCTCCCACCGGCACCACCTTGCAAGTCAAACCATAAGACATCTTACGTACTACGACGACGGAGGACCGAGTGCAGCCTTAAGGAGCTTCGCCCCTAAAAGAAAACTACAGGAGAAGGCAGTTAGATAGATACCAGCTTGTGCTATGCGCCAGGGACGCAAGTGTAAGCTTCCCTGGCTCACCATATGTCGGTGTTCTAGGGCGGTGATGTTCTGTTTATCTATCGTCAACTTCTTTCTGATATATGTGTTAGCCAAGTTAAGCGAACCAATAAAATAAAGCGTAACAAATACCTGCTGTACATTATGCAAGTCAATAAACTAACGAAATTGAGAGAACATAGGTTCAGTTATAAAGAAGTAGCAAAAACTACACTAAAAGCCAACTTCACAATGACATTGCTTCCAATGTATAAAAAAACATCGAAGAGGCACTCAACATGAGAGGTAGAGAATGACTCTTTATTAGAAAAGGAGGTTCTTGCTGGCGTCTGTATACCGATGGCTTGCTACTCTGTATATGAACGCGGTCCTGTTCTAATGTTGGGAAAAAATACTGCAAGAGGCAGATTGAGAACACAAAACAACAAAGCAAGAAATCTAACAAAGGAAACTTGTGAAGCTGCCATTTTGCTCCAATAGTGGACGACGTTCTGAGGTCACACCACGAAATAGATATATCCCGAATTTTAGAAAACTATCAAACAATGTTTAGAAAGAAAGTATGTGATGGAACAATAGCTTGTTTATGGTAATGCATGGCTGAAATGGATACCCGTTTACAAAACTTTACCGTAGTAATAACGGTGAAAAAACAATGCCTCTGTACTTTAGCAGAGTTTTGCAGAGCTTATTGGGGTGAAGCCTTCGCTATTGGTGGTGTAGAAAAAGTTTGATTCGACGAGAGTTGCTCATTGGGCTAAGCTCAGTGAGCAATTCTCGTCGAACAGTTCGATCAATCTTCACTCTTCGAAATGAACAATGTTTTGCCATTCATTCGCCAGCAATAGCTTCTATAACTACTTTATATTTAACCACCCACTAGCTTTTAAATTAGTGGTATTGTTTAGATCAATCTTGAGTTGACAAAAAGGGTGTTTATTAACAAAGTCTAAGTAATAAACAGACGAAGAAGGCGCCCACCGTTCCGTAGTGTGGTACCGCGCTGCCGTCAGCATGGGCACGTCCTGTTCCCCTCGAGGTCTTCGCGGCGGCAGACCGGGCGCGTACTCCTTCCGACCGTCGGCCTCCTCGTACTCGGTGAGACAGCGCATGCGCCGAGTGCGAGACACGAACACCACGCAGCACACCGTGGCAGCCAGGGTGGCGAACAGTGCGATGACGTCAGCCGACAGGAGAGTGATCAGCAGCACGGCTGAGAGGTTCTCCAGGGTCACCTCGGATGTAGCTGTACCAATGGTACGAGGGGGAGGCAGGGTTAAACAACAAAAAACGAAGCCTTTATACCAGTTCACTTCAAGAAAAGCTGTAGCCTACTAAAGCTACTTATCGGAAAAAATATCGTGGAGCTTTTTTTTTAGAAACGAGGTCGATGCACTGAAAGACGTCCGTAGTGCTCACTTTTAATGCAAAACCATACCATAGGCAAGAAGACAAGAGGAAAAGCACTACTCTCAACGTACAGCTATTGCGCCCCTCAACTTTTTATACGGGCCAGAGCTGGAAGGACAAGCGTGTACTGGAAGGTGGCTGCATGTCCCCTCCCAATCATTCTGCGATATTTTCACGAGTGAAGAGACAACCAATGCCCTCCTGCCCCTAAATTGTTTATTACTGGGGTAATTTGAGCTGGTGTGCACCAGCCCTGTGTGCCCTTGTTCATTTTTAGAGGAGCAATGACGCGTAGTGTGATTTACCCCATTTCCGGGGCAAACAGGAGCTGCGAGACATTGAGCCATTGAACAGGTAATGTTTGCTTTTGCCTGCAGCCATATACAGTTTCCTGTAAAAGTAAAATACATGTATTGCATACGTTTGCATGCCCCGCCACGGTGGTCTAGTGGCTAAGGTACTCGGCTGCTTACCCGCAGGTCACGGGATCAAATCCCGGCTGTGGCGGCTGCATTTCCGATGGAGCCGGAAACGTTGTAGGCCCGTGTACTCAGATTTGGGTGCACGTTAATGAACCCCAGGTGGTCAAAATTTCCGGAGACCTCCACTACGGTGTCTCTCATAATCATATGTTGGTTTTGGGAAGTCAAGCCCCACAAATCATCATCAGCATTCGTTTGCACATATCTATAAGGGCACCAGAATTATTTGAAAATAGTTGCAAAGTTCTATGTGAGTCCCACTGCTATCCTGAGCAATCTTAAGATGGCACCACGTAAGCAATCTTGTCAGGTGAAACATATGGGCAAGCTTATTTCCAGCTCTGCTTGAAGTTCTGAATGCGTGCTCTGTGGATGCCATTTCATTTGGTGCTTCTTCAGAGATGAAGAAAAGCGGAAGTTTTTTTTTTACTTATTCTGGAAAACCATACACTGAGTCACCCTTCTTGTTACCTTTGTGGGGTAAATCTATTATACGAAAACCAAGTGCGCTTACTTATCTTTGTCTACCTTTTGGGTGCACTATCACCAAGGCCCATTGTGTAACACCTCGATCAACGATGTGACTGTCCCCAGTTGACTTGCACAGCTTGCAGGCAATCCGTCTTCGCCCCCTCCGTACAGTGGGCCCTAGGCCTTGCCCACCAGCCAACCTTGATCACTCGATACAAATGACCTTACCACAGATATACCACTTACCACTTCATATATAAACCAAATTGGCATGTGTATTTTTGACACCACCATTACTATGCCTCTGGGGCAGGTTTTTTAAAAACAAAAGTGTGGAGAAAGTCTCACTTTTCTTTTTCGTGCTAATATGTTGACGCTGGTGCGACAGTGTTTCTGCCGTCTGATTCTCTTCCTATGAGGCCCTATGTAGACACTTAACTTTTCTCCACGACGTGCGACAGCGAATCTTTCAAATTACCGGGGCTTCCGTTTCGCATTTCTCAGATGTTTGGAGAAAAAATGTTCAATTCTGCAGTTAAGGGAGAGTTGAACTAGATTTACGTATATTTTTGAAAAGGTTGGGCACGCAAACACGGACACAAGTCAGGGCTCAAAAATGATGTCGGGAATGAAAATGGAAGTCAGAACTGAAGGAAAGAAGCCAGGACGGAAAGAAATTTCACGTTCTATTTGATAATAACAATATAATTGTTCTGGTTTGATGTCCTAAAACCACCATATGGTTATGAGACAAGCAGGACTGGGAAATTTTGATCACTCTGGATTCTTTAACGTCCACCGAAATCTGAGCACACGGGCCTCAAATATTTTCATCTCCATTGTAAATGCAGTCGCCTCGGCCAGGATTTGTTCCCACGACCTGTTAACTACACCCGACTACCTAGGCCGCTAGACAACCGTGGCGGGTTCACGTTACATTCCAGTAAACACGGAAATCTAATTATGACAGTTTTTGTGGATGTTATACTCTCATGACCTTCACAAAAAGCGCTCGTGCGCCCACCATTTATTATTCGCAGAACATACCGCGGTGTATTCAAGAGGAAAGTGGTCTTCCGCGACATACCCATCTCCTGGGACACATGTGCTCGACTACACAGTCACGGTTTTGAGCCTGGCCCTGGCGTCCTCATTGCGATGTCAGTGCGCGGTAAATAATGTGTGGTTGTGCAACTTCAGCAGGTTTTATACGGCGTGCTCATTGTAACATCATGGTTTTGACACGTTAAACGCTAGATATAGGAAAAAAATATTATCGGGACATGAAGTAGCACTGGGCAATGAAGCCACTTAATCACCGACGGCCTCACCGTCGTCATGAACGCATACAGCGAAAATGCACTATCGCATCCGACCACAGAGGTGCGAGTCCGGCCGCCCAGAAATGCATTTGGTTTACATCCTGCATGGGCACTTCCCTGCGCTGCGCATTCATCCATCCACTGGCGGTCCCAGTCTGGTTTAACTGGAGAGAATGTGCTACAGCTGTGCAAACTTGGGTGTTTACACCAAGAAATTTTCGCCAACACATGGTCATGGGTGGGAGGTCCAAGAGAGAGCACCCCTCCACACTCTCTGCCAAAGCCGGAACGCCACGCAACGTTGCTTATTCGGCCCCCTCCAATGTGTCCCCTGCACTCGCCTCCTCACCGCTGTGGTGCCATGCGGATTTGCACCCGCCGAAACAGAATCCTTCCGGCGCTCATCGGTGTACACTTTCCGCGTTATAGCACAAACAAACTGCGCTTGAACACACTTTTCGAAGTCTCTTATTGGTTGCGCGAACTGCATCGCAGAAAAGCCGAATCCTGAAACGAAAGGAATTTTTCTTTCTTTCTTTCTTTCTTTCTTTCTTTCTTTCTTTCTTTCTTTCTTTCTTTCTTTCTTTCTTTCTTTCTTTCTTTCTTTCTTTCTTTCTTTCTTTCTTTCTTTCTATTTTTTCTCCTTTATTTCTTTCTTTCTTTCTTTGTTCTTTTTCTCTTTCCTTCTTTCTTTCTTTTTCTTTTTCTTTACGTGCACAGAACCCTTTGCTCGAAGCCGGCGAACAGGAATTCATCCTCCTGTTCACTAAACAAGTGCACACATGAAATTCTTTCCTCGTTCTGTGGGGCCATGTGTTCCGAGAAGTAAACTGGGGAGAGAATGTAGCATTCATTTCCGGGTTCTAACGCCAGCGTTCTCGAGTGGGCTCTCAGAAAGCGGGCGCGCTGTTTGTTTTCTTCATCGATCAACACTCCTTGGCCATTCACCCTTCTTACCCCCTAGGAGGAACTCCTGAACTGCAACACGTATATAAAAATGCCTTGCCCCTAAAACGGCGCCATCGCTTGTTTCGTTTCGTCATCATGGGTATTCTTTTTAACACTGTAATTTCAGTCCAGTCATAGCCCTTCCATGTAAGCTATGCGCTGCACTGTCACAGGGTGCCTATTAGACCACAAGTTGCCAAGAACGTCAAAATTTCGAGAAAAGTTAGCAATCCGACGAAAGGGGCTAGTTGGCTCATGTTGGCTTAGTGATGCTCTTACGGTTGGCGATACCAAATACAGATGGCTATGTACACAGTGTTAAAATGTACCGGACACAGTGCAATATTGCGCTTGTTCTGTTACACATTGTATTCGGTGTATTTTTGGTACGTCATTCGTACCGTCTCCCTACGGTAAGCACATCGCCAGGCCAAGAAATGTCTGGTGGTTGGTATTATCTTGCACTTCAGTTTTATTTAGAAGTGTTTTTTTTTTCGGCATGCATCATTACGGGGAGAATACGAAAATTGGATTTTTAAGGCTAAAAACTTCGAAATAGCTAACGTCGCTGTCGAATCAGTAATCGCTTATACCTTGGAGTCATCTTATCTTAAAACTCGTAGTGGAACACTTGTAGTTACAGAAATTACATAAACGTCTAACAGAATCCTGGGCTTCTTGAAACGACATTTACACAGCGCTCCGAGTCATGTAGAACTAATTGTTTATACATGGTTAGTCAGGTGAAAGTTAATATCAGTATTTCTCATCTGAAACCAGCCCGAAGTTGGTCTTACAAATTTTCTTGAAACCACTCAATGTCGTGTGGCTACACTCATTCATGCTTCGTATTGATACGACATCAGTTACATTCCTCAAAGCCGAGTGTAACTTATCAACTTTATCTTGTCCCCTACACATTGTGATGCTCTCATTATTTCACAAGATTTTTCACTCACCACTTAATCGCTCTCCTTACGTTATCCCTCAAGCTCACGTTTCAAGTTTTTCGCCCACATGTCCACACTAAGACATTTTTGCTTCGTTTTTTTTCCCAGAGCCACAAAGCACTAGAACAGCCTTTCGCAGAATATCACCACAATCACTAGCTTATCAAGATTCTTGCATAGTATTTCAGATGTATCTCCAATTTGATCATTGTGACAATACCACTAATCGTGTGCTAACCCACCCCTTATGCAACATCCTCGCGTGGGCTTTTGAGAAAATAATAATGAATGAATGACTGACTGTATGAATGAATGAATGAATGAATGAATGAATGAATAAATGAATGCCTCATGAGACGCGCAAGTGACCGTTGGTATTCATGGCACGAGTGATGCGAAAAAATTGTTACTTGATATAGTCCCCATAAGACGTGAAGAGGACATCACAGGTCACAAAATGTTGTGACATAGTTATAACATCCCTATAACATCGCATAGCCAGACGTTACGCTAATTCTTAACTAATCAAGTTTGCGCCGAACTTTGAATCACTTGGAAACAACGTGAGGTGGCGAAAGCTTCAACATTCCCTGATCCCGCACGTAGTGCAGAAGGCTATAGTAAGAGAAGTCAAAGCTATAGTAAGAGAAGTCGATAACAATATTGTAGCCATCTATTATGCGCTTCATCCTCATCCGAACAGCAGTCAGTCATCATCACCTGTTTTGGCTGACAATCATCATCGTCTTTGAACGTGCGCTTCATCTTCGGGTCCGTTGCGTTTGTTCGTTCCCGAGCTCACGGCCATTCAACCTCGTTACAACCGAGTCGTCATAATATTAATAACTGTGAGGTTTAACGTCCCAAAACTACCATATGTATATCGATCACTTCCAGCAAATGTCATGGGGGTGAGAGTATGAATGAAAGAAATATGTTTACAAAATATACAAGGTGAATCGGAGACAGCTGCAGCCAAGATGGCGGAATAACAACGCGAATGCGATCGCAATCATCGTTTTAATCACCTGTCTGATGTTTCTCGTTTCCGATGTCGTGTAACAATAATATGAAAGCTTCGCACTAGAGGTGACAGGCAATACGGAAAAACATAGCTGGTTTGCCTGCCTTTTTTACTTTTACTTTTCTCTTTTTCTTTCTCTCTCCTCCTTTTATTTCTTTTTGTATGTTCTTATACTTCTTGTTTCTTCCATTTCTGTCTCTCGCTTTCTGTTCATCGCTTCCTCTTCCTGTCTTGTCTTTTTTTTTCTCCTGCTTTGTCTGGCTTTCCGAGTTTCTCTCTTTTTCTTTCTCTTGCTTCTTTGCTTTGTTTTTGTATTTTTTGTGTCAGTTTCTGCTTATTGCTTTCTGTCTTTTTGTAATTATTTACCTCGTTTATTTATCTCCCATTTTCTGCTACCCTCATTTCTGTCGCCATCTTTCTTTTTTTCTTTGTCTTTCTCTCCGTTTTCTCTGTCTCCTCTTTCTATCTCACTCTTTCAAGTATTTTACGTTATACACTTCGCCAAGCCAACTACTTTTTTTTAACACTCCCCCAGTTGTACAGGGTAGTGGTTTTGAACAATTCTATTGGTGCATAGGTACCTGAAGAGCTGTGACTGATGGCGCACAAGCTGCCGATAGCTCGAACGGCTTCCCGGTAATGATAATAAAAGAGTGCGTGCAGAATCATGATGATAGTTGTTTTACGATGGAGCATTGGTTACGGACACCTCACATGGCTTCGCTATTACGAATGACCCTGCAACAGTGACAACGCTAAAAAGACGAATCAAAGAATGGCTCAATTGAACGCGACTGGGAAATATTGTCCTATGGTCACGGTACCTTTCACGTACCCGATTCTTCAAAATGAACATATACCATAGTGCTTTTACCTCAAACTAAATTGGTGACTGCAGTGATGGTACGGAGGTGCATGAAAGGGATAAATTATCGTCTACTGGACCATACCGAGAAACCGAAGAAACCTACATGACAGAAAAATCAGGAGGGACCACTATCCTCGACTTGGGCCCCTTGTAGTGGCACATAAACCTCGGTGCTAATGTTCTCTGGTATATTAATTTGGTTAACTGTCTTTGTTCGCACTGCCGGTGCTTATATCCGACGCCATGTATGAGGAAGCAGGTTGTGGAGATCACCTCAGCTAGGTCCTACAACAATCCCAACTGCTTACATGAGATACAGACCAGGCTGGCGACTTAACTACCAGTGTTGCAGCCCTCTGGGTCCCAAGCTAGCTCCCCGCCCCTACAAACTTGCTCCCCCGTTCCCACTACCATTTCTAAAAAAATGACTGATTTCTCTTCCAGAACTGTCTGCTCTAGCAATGATCTCCTTAAACTATCTTCATCGACTGTCGGGACAGTTCATTCACCTCTCGTTTAAGTTAAATTAGGCTCCTATATCATATGTATCCAACAGAACTGCTAACTTAAATCAGGACCGCGAATTTTCGCCACCTGGGGTTCTTTGCCGCGCAACTAAGTCCAAGATAAAAGGTTTTTTTTGCAATTCACCCCCTCGAAAATTTGGCAGCCGTGACTTGGAACCGAACTTGCCGCATTAACGCCTTACAATGCCAAAATCAAGATATTTAAGTATTCCTTTTTCCCGCAAACAGTAGCAGACTGGAACACCCTTCCTCTTAGTGCACTCAGCAACACCGATTCTATCGCATCCATTAGATCTTAAACCTAGCCTTGCACAGGTACCCTTGTTCATTGATTAGATAGTTAAGTATTCATGATCCTTTCATTCTGTATATTCTATTTCATTGTTCCACATTTTTCAGTGCTTGTTTCTTTGTTGGTAGATTCGTTTTGTTGTCAATATACCATCTGTGATACCTGAAAACGTTTCACTGTTCGTTTGTACTTTTCCCCTCCTGCCTGGGCCTTTTGAAGGCCTGCAGTATTCCTAAATAAATAAAAAAACATAAACCCCCATCATTGAGCATAGCAGCTCGACACCTAATCTTCTCTGCCAGAACATTGGGTCGTTTAATAAGACAACGACTGAACCGCGAACCTGGTGCCTCAATAAGCTGCAGGAGCAGGAGTAGCTTGTAGGCAAAGAGCACGGCTGTCAGACAGGCGGCCACCACGGAGAGCACGGCGCATGCGCCGACGAGCGCATGAAGCCTGGAGGAGCGGTGGCAATAAGCGGCCAGGCCGCACACCGCAGCCATTGCCAGGAAGATCCCTTGGAAGCGGCATGCCACTTCCACGCTCCGAAGCTCCGGAACCACCTGCAGCGAACGTGGTAAGCAGATGATTTGAAACAGTGTTCGATGGGCAACCGGTTCTGAATTTTCATTGCGATAACATAACCAGTAAAAACACTGCTTGACAATGCGAGGGAATATATATAAAAAATAGAACACTTCCACAGCACGCGGCCATGACGCAGTAGGTAGCGCCCCAGCCCCTGTCGCCGTAGACCGAAAGGTCGTGGATTTGACCCCCGTTAACAGAACAATTTTTTATCATACCTGTCTTTTCGACGCCATTGACGTGACGGAAATACGTCAGAGAAGTCTTGGTTGACGCGGGAAGGAAACATTCCATGTTAAAAATTAAACAAATGGACAGTTTTATTCTATAACAATATAAAAAATAATTGCGCCAATTTTAAAGCCGAAATCTTTCGGTATATGTAAAAATACTTTGTTTAACCAAAACTGCAAAAGCCTTCATTTATATCATGTAGATCCACTAATTCAACTTGAAATTCCGTTGTCTTGAGACAGAAGTGTGGTAACCCTTATTGATCAATTAAGATCAGGCACTCACACACCAAAAGTTTTTTACACAAACTTGGACACACTGGCACTTTTGAATACGGTTGCGGATTTGTAGATGAAGACATACATCACCTTAATCTAGATTGCCCACATTTTCTTAATTACTTGTGCATTACACGAAACAACAAGACGCCGACTTAGATCATTCTTAACGGTTTCAGACTGTAGAGTGTTCATATTAAGGAAGCTTTTGGTACTGCGACCAACGAGAGGTGTACAAAGGTGTGAAGTAAACGCATTTGAACGTTTTAATGAAGACGGTGGCATTTTTGGTGGGTAATAATGCATTTAGTTTTTTTTTCTTTAACATGACAACGCCCATTTATGTGACTGTTGACTATAATGTTGAAAATTATACGACTTCTAAAGTAACGTAACAATGATGCGACTGTTGACAGCATGCATCGGGTGCTCTTCAATTTGTTATCATCGTATGTGCACATATATGTGATTGCCGAGTACGTTGTTTTAAAATATCTTTTCCTGTTATACTAAATTCTATTTTGTATGTCCCGTGGACTTCCTGAGCTTGGAGACCTGGAACCTGTGGCAGCTCTGTTATCAGACACCTCTCAGAAATAAAGAGAAGCCGGCGCCAACATCTTCTTACATCACGTCAATTGAACAAAAAAAAAAACAGTGCTAAAACGGAAAGCTTGAAGAGAACTTGCTGGCTCTTGCATACTAAATTGTACATGAAGATATATGATTTGCTGAAGCTGACAGATATTTTAATGCAACTGTACGCGTGCACACGAGGGTGGAGTGGGGAGCATGGTGTTGTCAAGTTTGCCCTATAACTGTACTCCGTCAGACCCGTTTCATCACTGTTAAAAGAACAGGGTTATGGCGCAGGTATTTCAGGATGATTGGCAGCCGAGAACAGGGGATGTTGCATTACAAGGGTGGTTTACTTGCCACTTTACTCCCAGAAAGGCGGCATTGAAGGCTCATCGCTTCGTTTTCACTTTTGAATCTACTGGAACACTTGGTTGCTTACGAACCAGCCCAACAAGGAGACGAGGTTGCATTGAATGCTGCAGCCCCCTCGCTCGGTATGATGAGTCACTCTATCAAGAACACGTCTTGCAAAGCAGATTCTGTATATCACGTGCTCCAATCTGGTCTTAGCCAACTCCCAGCTCACTCTTCAACCACATGTGCAGAGCAATTGACTTGACTAGCGTTAATAGAACGCACTTTGACAATAAGAGACGCTAACAGTGTGGCATCTACACGTATTGCTGTTTAGCATTCGTTTTGCTTGCAAGCGGCTCTAGCCTGGATGGTTATAAAACGCCAATGCAGCCACCCATGATACAATCGAGAGTCTATTCGGCGTCTTTTTATTGGCGCCAAGGTCTTAGCGCGATCAAAACAGCGCTATGTGCTGTTCGCGCTTCTTTTCATACCCTATGTATAGAAGAGAAAGTTCTCGCAAGGTCATGGTCCAAGCACAGTAGAATGCGTTAAAGCACATGATGCAGGCGCGCCTTGAACCTGTCCCGTGATATGGTGCGCTCTCCCAAAGTGTACATGCTTTCTTTGACCTTTTGAGAACTGCCGTAGAAGCAACTCCTCCGATTGTTTACTGAATATCAGTCTTCTTAATGCGTCTTCTAATGACTAAAGCTAAATCATTCGAAATGTTCTGAAAAATTCCTATCAAATCGTTTCGCATTTGCACGAAAAGAGCTTGAGTAGAGCTGCGAAAAATAAAGCGACAAGGCGGTGGCACAAAAAAATATGTGCCATGAATCGGTGCAAATATATACGCTTCGCTTACGCTGTATGAGAAATATTTCCGAAACACTAAGCCTAGTTCTTTCAATTTGCCTACGGATTAATGACTTTAGCGGGAATAGGTAGATTTGACTAGATTAATCCATTAGACTAGCAAAAACACACCACTGGCTTCTCGAGTATAGGCCCCGATTCGGCTTCAATAAATTATATATAGGTATTTAAGTGCTGTAGCTTTGACTTTTTTGTGTATTCAGTACAATCACCGCCAATATTGAATAGAGTGTCGTGTGCGCTAAGAAAAGCTGAGACATAGGCTGGATTATGAAAACCAAATTACAAATACAGCGGTCCGTTCAGCACTAGTTTAGGGGTTTTCATCTACCTTTGATATCTTATAAAACCTCATTTGATCCTTTTACCTTTATTTAATTATGAATTACAAATGTAGTCTAATGCAAATATGTATTTTTTTTATTCTTATAAGACATGCTCGGAAAAAGTATAAGAAAATAAACTCGGAAGCACTCAGGCGGCAGTGCTTGCATATCTTGTTTATTGATGTGAGTATTCGCCGCGGTTAAACTTCTAGCATAATATTCACTAAAACCTTCCCCGCCAGGATTATTACTGATGAATACGATTACGACACATATCCGTAACCGTGACAAACCCGCATAAATAAAGCAACTTCATGCTCCATTTTGGCGAAATACCTAATTTGGACGTCGTGGGTGTGTCTGTATTACGGTGCGTCACTTGAAACTACCACTGCATCAGATAATACGCAGTGCCTCTAAAACCAGTGCTCTACCTGTCCACGTGTACAACTTCATTAGAGGGCTGCGGGTGACTACAACAAAGCATCAATATTTTTTTACAGCCAGTCTGTTGTTAACTGTGCATTCAAAGCTGAATGCACGAGCATTGGAGTATCGCCAAGGAACACCCCTAATAAATTAATAACTAGAGAAAGCCGTGAGAACGCAGCAAATGCAGTCATCGTAGTTTCCGAACCACCGTTTCAGCTTGAACACGCCTCCCACCGGGGCACATTTACCTGCCATAGCTGGCCCAGTATCGGAAGGAGAATAACCAGCAGGGCGCAGAGCACCAGGACGCAGCAGACGAAGAAGTTCACAGAGAGGGACTTGCTCGGACTGGCCATGGTTGAGGGTTCGACGCTTTCCTTATTCCCGACCCCGATGGCTTTGAGCGAGCACTCACCGTATCGGCTACCGCGGAGATTTTCACGTTGAACGTACTGTCTCTACGAGTCGGCCATCGTTTAAAGAAAATGACCACCCAATAGTGACTTTGTCACTTCGAGAGCATGAAAAGTGTCTTCGTAAAGCGTATACTAAAGAGCTCACCATACAAGTAACCCCTGTTTTGAAACGCGATCTTGGTGCCACGCTAGGGAGCACAAGAAACACACGCGCATATCACTCCCACACCACACCCCTCTTTCCGGCACAAGCAACAACGTCAAGGGTGGCGTGCATCAAAAGGCGACGAGCATTGCCACGAAGATCACTGGGTCACAGACATCCAAGGACTCTTTCGATCTGGCCCATTCAGAAACGAGCGCTTCAAGAGCACGACGCTGCTTCTACACGCGGTCAATCCGTGCGGGCACGTCGGCGCGCGAACGGATTCGAGTTCGGCAGCACGTCTGGACTAGCTCTTCGTGCGTGGCACGTAGCCCACATCGGAGCACCGGGTGGACCGCGAATGAAAAACCCTTCTCCCAGAATCGCCGCCCCTGGGGCCTAGCGCCAGCGTCGAGCCGCGTCGGCAACGCTGGCCCTCTTCCGGATGAGGCGCCAAGGCCTCGAGTCTATTTAAAGCCTCCGCTGCACTCCAGCCACCGGCCGACCCGACTGAGGCTGTTCGCGTGCCAAGCTTTGTTTGTGTGTTTGTGCACTCGTTACGGTGCGCGCTTTAAAGATAGGGGGGTGGAGGGTGGAGGTGGTTTCGTGTGCGAACATTCTGTGGTTTTTCTTTCTGTTTATGTCACTCATACCCGGGTTGAAGCTCACGGCCCAGCTCCCGAAAAACCTTACAAGCAGGATTTAATAGCGTGCAGCGTTGTTCACAGCTACGGCGTGCTCCACCACCTCAACGGCAGCGCTTACCTAGCTCGCAGCACAACTAATACACCTGCATGGTTAGTATGGTTTTCGAAATATGCACAGCGAGATTTGAGGATCGCCTATTTAATAAACGCTTATCTATTTATGAGGCTCGTACCCGTATAACACCATTATGACTTTTGGAACACTGCACAGTTTTGCAGCTACACGACTCATGTGGAACCGTTTTTTTTATTTCTGTGATCCCCTGAAGACTGCGAGCAGGTCGCTGCGGTGGTATAGTTCGGCCGTCTGAGTGTTTGTGTGTCTACGCCCGTTTCCTTTTATTTTTCCGACCCGCGAGAATGTTTGCCTACGCGGGCTTCGGGAAATATATGGTGCCTGCGGCTATCATACGGTTGCTTGCTTTTTCTACGTGTGCTATTGTTCGGACAGATGTTTACACAAGAATGGCTGGTAGCTCGTTAGTTCGCGTGTGCCACCGGCAGTCTTGCGTCGTTCGGTCGTTTTTCCAGATGCCTTTCGAGCGCATGACTGGACGCAAGATTCGCGTTGTCTTATTAACGTCAGACTGGCGTTTTCCATGTTCGCCAATAGATCCCTTATTAAATAAAACGACGTGGAGCTGCGGAAGATGTATAAGGGGAAATATTTTGACGGTGAAAGTCTTTCGGAGCCTGTTAGGTTCTGGCTTGCTTTTTAAAACAAACTCCGCCGCTTCGGCGACGTAACGGCGATAGAACGAGACCGACGGCTGCCTTGGAAGTCGCCGAAACGGTTTTATTGGAAAAGTGTAATGAAAAAAAGGAGGTGAAAAAAGAAAGAGAGAGAGAGAAAAAGGAAAGGCCGGGAGGTTAACCAGATATTAGCATCTGGTTTGCTACACAGCGCTGGGGGCGGGGAAGTAGGGGCAAGAAAGACGGGGTAGATAGAGGGGAAAAAAAAAGCACACGCGCACACATAAGAAAACGAAAACACACACAGGAAGGGCGTCCTAGCTACAACCGTTCAGTAAAGCCGGTCGATTGCAAAAAGTGTAGTAGCGCTTTCAGGGCCCTCTTCTGTGAAGTCGCATCCTGTCGATACTGCAGAATTCCCTGCTCCGACAGAGGTTGACCATCTTATTTGTTGAGTTCCTTGCGAAGGCATAGTCGTTGTTTACTATATGCTAGGCAGACACAAAGAATATATTGAATCGTTTCTTCTTTGCCACATTGGCCACAAGCTGCGGTGTCGGCCATCCTAATGCGGAAAGCGTAGGCCAAAAGGAGGTAAAAAAACGGAAAGTGCATGCTTTCTCAAAAAGAGCTGAGATTTTTTTTTAGCTTCATTGTCGGGGCCAGATTGGCGAGTATAGTTATCGCTAGCACTGTGTACTTGAACTATGTGCAGTAACTGTAATTAATGCCAACAACTAAAGAGACAGGCGTGCTTGCAGGTAAACCATGAGGTTGACGTATAGGGCTGGCTCAGCACTGCGTAAATGAGCGTATTTCAAGCGAATTGTCTCAGTGTAGTGGCACTGCACGATAGAGTTTTTTCTGTGGCGTAAACTGACGGAGTTCAGCGAGTAACAACGTATAAAAATGTTTTGCGAACAGCTTCCGGGAAGCAATTACGATTAAAGGCACCTAATTGAGTGCATGTTTCATGATGATGATGATGATGATAATGATATAAATAATAATGATAATAGTAATACTAATATTCAGAAAGCACCTGTCACCATACAGCCGTAACATTCATAGGAAAATTTTGTTACAACGCTCCAATGGTTCAGAAACACCACGTTGATTTTATCATATGCAGACAAAATATCCTAAAAATTCACGACAACAGAAGCTCGAAACTGGACGCGTCCTATTTAAACATAAGAAGTGCATAGAAATACTATTATGGTACGGCAGCGGCAAAATACGGCACCGAAAGCGACCCTTGTGATCTCATCACCAGCTTTCGGTGTAAAAAAAAAGTGAAACAACTTTCAATAAGTCGAACAAGCCATGAATGAACAAAAATAGACAATTCCGATCTAATTGCTTCTAGCTCGTTTGTATAGAGAGCAAAAGAAGTAGATGGTGAACAGTGGGTATGAGCCACAAGAGAAGGTCAGCAAGAAGTAGTTGGTCGTAGTTGACGCACTAAGCGGCCCTACATTCGAGCGTGTATAGCCATACTAATTTCATTTTCGCTAGAAGTTGTGCTACTTTTTACACGACTGCCTAAAGGATGCGTTTTCCTGCGCCTGCAGTTCACGCGGTGAGCGCTTCTACAGACACAACTATACACATATAGCATAACTGCGTGTTGTTTGATTCCAAGATTTGTAGTAACCATGGGTATACGATTGCATTCAATATTTTTCTCTAGAAGCTCCATTTATATCGCATCGTTTGAACATTGACAATACTGCGAGCTATTTCGCCGAATTCAAGTGTTCGCCCTTTCAGGTAGCGCTCCTACATTGCGCTAACATTAAAAAAAATTCTTACATATCACGTCGGCGAATGCTTTTTTTAAAACTATAAGGACCACCTTACAAGCTAAAGTGCACTCGCCAAGGCTCTCTGCTTGGCACGCTTAACGATTCTTCGGCCTGGCGACGAACTGGGCAAGCCACAGTATAGCCTGATCTTAACGACACGGATATGCTGAAGGCGCTACAGTGCAAAATACCTCTATACAACGAAGTGGTCTACATATAGCCAGATCTCAACGACACAGATATGCTGAAGTCACTAAATGCAAAATATCTCTATACAACGAAGTGGTCTACATATAGCCAGATCTTAGCGACACGGATATGCTGAAGGCGCTACACTGCAAAATATCTCTATACAATGAAGTGGTCTTCATTTAGTCAGATCTTGACGACACGGATATGCTGAGGGCGATACAGTGCAAAATATCTTTATACAACAAAGTGGTCTACATGACGCTATTCAGAATGCCATGAGCGCTTCGTTATAAGAACTTTGACTGCAAATATGCTGTACATGTGAATGATAGCTGTAACCTTAGAGGGGCCCTGCAACAGTTTTTTAGCATGGTCAGAAAATGCTGCCAATTGATAGTGAATACTCCCGAGAACGCGCGAGCCAAATATCATTGCACAGCACGTTGCCTGTAATTCTCTATAAATTTTCAAAGTCAGCTAGAAATTTCTCTTCTTTTGGGAAATGACGGAAGAAGCTAAAAATACCTCATTACAGCCATTGTAACACTTTTTGTGACTTGAGCTTGGTGCTTTCGGTCGCTATACAAGAACCGCCACGGGAGGTAGTGACTGGTCCACACATGCGCACACGATCACTCTGAAAAGCCGTAAATTTAAAAAAAAAGATACAAACAAAATGTGCATCTTATCGCGAATTGCGCGTGACGTATTTTCTTTGCCCGTGCCATCCCTCCCTGCTTAGCTTCCAGCGCTTTCGCCGGGGCGACAAAAGAGAGAATTTAATCGCAGTGTGCTAGAAATATTTTCGACTTCGCTCGTACTGGACGGATTTTAAGAGCGGTGAATTCGTGAGGCTATATGCTTCCCTTGAGATTCAATTTCATGGCTACTCAAGTGATGCAAGGTCACTTTCAAAAAGAGGAAGAGAGCAGAGTGAGTCAAGGAGCAAACCGTGGTCAAGGATATCATAGCTGAAATCAAGAAGAAGAAATAGACATGGGTCGGGCACATAGCACGTTGGCAGGATAACCGCTGGTGCTTAAGGGTAATTGACTGAATTCCCAAGCAAGGCTAACGCACGAAAGGGAGGCAGAAAATTAGGTCAGCAGATGAGAATAATTTTGCAGCTTTAACGTGCCAGCAGAAAGCACGGTATTGGGTTGTTTGGCGGAACATTGCTGGGTCCTTTGCCCTGCAACCGGGGCGTAGTTGGGTTGCTAATGATAATTATGGCTATGATGACGATTATGTATAACAGTGCATGCGATTTTCAGGGACTTGGTCACCATCCTGACGATATGATGTGGCGCAAAAAGAAAGTGGCGCCTAAGCAACGCTTCTCGAGAAAGCTAATGTTCCTGCTGGTGCTGATGCTTGCGAGTCTGTTCGTGGTCTGCTCGCTACTGGTGGTGCTCTTGCCAAACGAAGTGGTCGCCATCATCCCACCCAGGGACACCAACGAAGCCGCCACTGAAGGAGAGGCGATACTTAACTTGGCACCCGTTTCGCTCTTCGATGACAACGGCTACGAGAGTGGATACATAAAGATCAAGGTGACAACCCACCTGTTTGCACATGGATAAAACAATTAGTTTTAGCGTAAGCTACAATCGCCCAAACTGAGCCGTTTCACGTGGCTTATTGAGACCCATGCTGCGCATGCCCGAGAAGCAGTGACGTCACGTGGCGTACAGCTGGTGCGCTGGAGAAGGCCTGAAACATTTTCAGTGACATGTCACTATGGTGAGCTGGCACTTGACTTGCGTGAGCTCCCTCGCTGGTCCGTTCGTCCGTGCATCCGTCCATCCGTCCATCTGGCGCTCACGCTACGTAGAACACGGCATAGGAGAGCTAAGTAACCGCCAATTCTTTTTTTTTTCATCACAAACCACATGCAGACGATTGTGCGTTAAAGGGACGCTAAAGTTCAAAACACGATTGTCGTAGTATTATAGTGAGGCCCTCTTCAACAACTCTAGATTCACCACCCCTGCCCCAAGAGGACACTCGGTAAGT